AAAAGTCAGATCAAAGCGGATTAAAGACCTCAATATCAGACATGAATCCAGAAGGTACACAGAAGAAAATATAGGAAGAACTCTCCACAATCTTGAAGCTAAAAGCATCTTGAAGGATGAAACAGCACGGGCCATCCAAGTGGAAGCAAACATAAACAAATGGGACTACATCAAACTAAGAAGCTTCTGCACTTCAAAAGAAACAGTGACCAAAATACAGAAAGAGCCCACAGAATGGGAAAGACTATTTACCCAATATCCATCTGATAAGGGATTAATATCCAGGATATACAATACACTAGTAAGAATTGTACAAGAAAAAACCTCCAACCCCATCAATAAATGGGGAGAAGAAACGAATAGAAGTTTCCTCAAAAAAAGAAAGACAAATGGCCAAAACACACTTGGAAAAATGCTTCACATCACTAGCCATCAGTGAGATGCAAATCAAAACAACAATGAGATATCTTATATCACAGAGACTGGCACACATTCAAAAGAACAAAAGCAACAATAAAATAAAAATAAAAAACAATAACGATAAAAACTAAAAGCCTTCCCTCTAAGATTGGGAAAAAGAAAAGGTTGTCCACTTTCGCCACTCCTATTCAATATAATACTGGCATGGATGTGGGGGAAAAAGGGACACTCTTTCACTATTGGTGGGAATGCCCCCTAGTCCAGCCTTTCTGGAAAACAATATGGACAGTCCTTAAAAAACTAGAAATTGAGCTTCCATATGACCACGCAATGTCACTTCTGAGATTATATCCCGAGGATGGAAAAAACCACAGTAGATATGACATCTCTACCGATATGTTCATTGCAGCACTGTTCACAATAGCCAAAATCTGGAAAGAACCCAAGTGCCCTAGAATAGACGACTGGTTAAAGAAACTTTGGTACATATACACAATGGAATACTATGTAGCTGTCAGGAGAGCATGAACTTTGCTTATAAATGGATAGACATGGAGAGTATCATGCTAAGTGAAATGAGTCAGAAGGAGAGCGACAGACATAGAAGGACTGCACTCATTTGTGGAGTATAAAACAATATAACATGAGGCTGACACCTAAGGACAGTAGATACACGGGACAGATAGATTGCTCCATAGCTGGAAGGCTGCCTCATGAGCAAAGGGGAGAAGGCAGCTGGAATAGAGAAGGGATCACTAAGAAAAAGATGGCTGGAGGAATCGGTTGGGATGGGAGATGTGTGCAGAAAGAAGATAAAGGACCAAACATGGTAACCTCTCAGGGTCTGTATTGCAAACCATAATGACTAAAAGTAGAGAGAGATTATGGGGAATATTGTCTTCCATGGAGGCAGGGGGGAGGGTGGGAAAGGGTTGGTATACCAGGGGCATTGGTGGTGGAGAATGTGCACTGGTGGAGGGATGGGTGTTTGATCATTGTGTGACTGTAACCCAAACATGAAAGGCTGTAACTATCTCATGGTGATTCAATAAAATTGAAAAAAAAAAAAGAAAGTAACTGTGTAGGGAAGGCTACCTGCAAAAAAATGATTTGTACACAGCACACAGTGGACCTGGCTTTAATCCCTAGCACTGATAGGATCCCTGCTGTCCCATCAGGAGTAGGCCAGGAATAGGCCCAAAGCTCAGTGGGTGTGGCCCCCAAACAAAACAAACAGTTCAAGTGTTTGCAAGAAAAGTTGAAGGCCAGTGGAAAGTTCACCCCTTTCTCTGTGTATGAAGGTGAACCCCATGGACTGGGATCCATGGTGAGAGGAAAATAAAGCAAAAAACTTCAAACATACTTAGACAACATATCTTTTGACTACGAACAGAAGTCACATACAGTGAAATCAACACACTTAAAGAGGCTAACTGAAGCATATTAAATAATAGACATTAATGCAGCAAAATGAGAAGCAATGTAATGGGATTATCCATTCATGTTAACTTTAAGTTATATGATAAGCAGCGCCCTTTCTTGAACAGAACATTTTTAATAGGCAGAGGCCAATGCATATTCAGTTCATTATAACTGTGAGCCAAACTAAAGACAGAAGTGCCACTAAATAACAATACTATAAAATATTAAACCAAAGTCTCTTTAGCTATATGGTGGAGACTATTATAATTAAAGTTACATATCCATGGAAAGAGAGAATTAGGTCTGTGACTAAATCTATTATTCATTCCATTGTGCAAGGCCATCTACTGCTCGTGGACCCTGAGGCATAAGGTCGTTTACAGAAGAATTTTCAACATTATTTCTATGTTTCCTTGATTTAATGAACTGAAACACACCCTAATGCAATCTGAAAGCAGTAGTTAGAAATGCTTAATTTCACTTACGTGTGTGTGTGTGTATGTGTTTGTGTATGTATCAAGGATAAAAAAATAAGCAAGAGCTATATATTATATATAGCCCTGGCTATCTATATATCTATATCTATATCTATATCTATATCTATAAGCACTGTCCTCCCGTTGTTCATCAATTTGCTCGAGCGGGCCCAGTAACGTCTCCATTGTGACAATTGTTACTGTGTTTGGCATACTGAATACGTCACAGAGAGCTTGCCAGGCTTTGCTGTGCAGGCAAGATACTCTCAGTAGCTTGCTGGGCTCTCTGAGAGGGGCGGAGGAATCAAACTGGCTTGGCAGGGCCGGCTGCATGCAAGGCAAAAGTCCTACCACTGTGCTATCGCTCCTGTACATTTTACTGAGAAAGATATTTTATTACACTCAGCAGCTACTCATGGGGGAACAAAAGGAAATCTGGTTGAATTTCCTAAGATACAGACCTGACTGAAGGAAATTTACCTTGAATAACAATAGGTTTAAAAACATTACTTTATTTGTCTGCAACGCATTCTTGATAACATAGAGAAAAATATTACTTTACTTGAATTTTCTCTGAAAAGCTTCCATACTGATACAAAAGAGTGACCAGCTGGATACAAACTGAGTACTGAAAATAGGTAAGATTATTGACAACCTTTCGGTATCTTTATTGCAAACCACAATACCCAAAAGGAGAGAGAGGAAGAGAGAGAGAGAGAGAGAGAGAGAGAGAGAGAGAGAGAGAGAGAGAGAGAGAGAGAGAGAAAATATAGAGGGGGAGAGGGAGAGGAGCCTGCCATGATATAGAGGGGGAGAGGGAGAGGAGCCTGCCATAGAGGCAGGCTGTGGGGGGAGATGAATTGGGGGGGGGCGAGGAAAACTTGAGACATTGGTATTGGGAAATGGGAAATGTACACTTGTGGAGGGATGGGTATTAGAACACTGTATGACTGAAATCCAATCACGAACATATTTGTAATGGGCTGTCTCACAGTGACCTGATTTAAAAAAATAATTTTTTTTAAAGTGACCAATACAATAGCCAAAGATAACTTTCAAGACTACCGGGCCAGTTATTAAACTAAGAAAAACAAAATAATATAATAGCAATGATTCATTTGCTATGATAATCTTCTGAAGTGTATAGTTTTATTGCTGAACTATACTATTTAATACTGTTGTTTGTATTTTTCTTGGTTACCAAAAATACAAACGCAATATGTCTGTGTTACACAATACACGATATTTATATGTGTATATATCACATATACATAGAGAAATGACATACATTTGATATACAAATGGCTCTACATTTTTTCTTACACTATTTACCTTTTAATAGAATTGTTATGGAAGTAATGCTGCATTTAACATAGACGTTTTCAATGTGCATCATTATAAATCATCTGTCTGTGCTACATTAGCATTACCACTAAGAGTCCAAAGGACAGACAGCACAGAGGTTACTTTCTACATAGGGTTGAGTGTAGGACATAAGTAAAAGTTGGTTAAAATGTAACAATGGATATATGATAATTAAAACCAGGCAGCTAAAAATGAAATAGGGAAAGTGAAAATTCGAAAGAAAACTGGCCCTAAAAAGTATTAAAATGATAAACGTTTACTGTAATTTGGAACACTCAGGCTTGAAAATATACGCATATTATAAACATCTTTATGATTTTCTAAATTCATATTCTAATTGAAAGGCATGAGAATTAATTTTAAGGAGATGAAGGGGGATTAAGTAAACCGTTGCTTTTCTAAAGGCTGGGTGCCCCTACAATTGGATATGTATTTGTTTTTTAATAATTTCTAACTAAATCAGATAAAAGAACTACCAAAATCTAACTTTGGTGACTTTTGAAATCTTTTGTTTTGGCCACAGCCGAGGTGTTCAGGGTTTACACCTGGCTCATTACTCAGGGATCACTTGTGGTGGTGCTTAGGAAACCCTACAAAGTCCAAGGGATCCAACTCAGGTAGGGTAGGTGCCTGTCACATTATTTGCTCTCCTATCTCTGTGGTCACACTTTTTCATCTTCAGGAAATAAAAACCAAAAACTTAGAGGACAGACCTCATTGACCGACGATGCATCCCCGAAGAAACTGTATATTTATTTCCTAGGACTATCATGCATGTACGCACATAGCTACACATTTATTTTAAAATATATTTCATTGAAACTACATTACACTGTATAGAACATTATATAAGACTGAGGTATCATCAACACATCACTGCATGAGTATCTTTTTTCAAAATGAGGATACCACAGGCAACATCAATTATACCGAATTTACAAAAAAATAGAACGTTTATAAAAATATTTTCAAGAAAAGAAAATGATGCCGCTTTCATGCAATTTTCTTAAGGAGCAGCAAAAAAAAAAACACATTAAAGTATATATGAGGCCAGAGAGATAGTACAGCTGTTTTAGGATATTTGCCTTGCAAGCACTCATCCCAGGTTCAATCCTCGGCATCCCATATGGTCTCTGGAGCACTGCCAGGAATGATCCCTGAGAACCGTCAGGAGTAACCCTGAGCATGGCTGGGTGTGGCCCCAAGCCCAAACCAAACAAACGCTATGAACTGCATTTCACATATGCTATCAAATCCCATGAGCCAAAAAAGGGCATCGGTGAGCTGTTCTCTAGCTTGGCCAACCGTCTCACTTACCAGCACCATCCTGCATTTGACGTCTGGCCACTTTCAGGCCAGCATACTCTGCGGCGGCTGCCACGGCCTGGGCAAAATCTGCATCGGTGAAAAAGGAGCCATCGGAGGAACTGACACTGGAGCGCCCGCTGGAAATGTTGTCCTCCTCGGAGGCCGAGCCCCAGCCATTGATCATGGACCCCGTGACGGAGCTCTCCAGGTCCCCCACACTGGAGGCAGGGGTCTGCTCCAGCCCGCGCAGCAACAGCCTTCGGGTCTGCATCTTGGCCACTTCCAGGTCAGCCTCGTCTTCTTCCTCCTCAGGCGCATCCGTGTCCATATCTGAGACCAGGGGCCCTGAAATGTAGCCGTAGGTGTGCGGTGGGGAAACGGGTCGCGGCGGCGGAGGAGGGCTCACAGGTTGCCGTCTGCAGGGAGACAAACAGGCATTGTTCAGTTCATTACTTAAGATGCGGAAGGAGAAGAGATATCAAGGAATTCACAAGCACGCCTGCTTGATCTTTTGCTTCCACTGGAGCTCAGTGGTTCAGGGGGAACAATGAAATCGGAGGGTGTAAAAGTTTCATGTAAAGTTGTAAGATATTTATCCCCAAATCAGAGATACTTTAGATGGAGGGAGATGGCATTTTGATTCAAGTTTAACAGGGGTCTTCATGTTTTATCATCTGGATTACATTCAGCTGAAAAAGGGAAGTAACACATACTTTGACATTGAGACATATATTCTGCAAGAAGTGTATCAGATATTACTGGTAGCTCATTATCACCCAAACAACAGACATCAGTCCTAAAAAGACATGGCTCCATTACTGTAACAATATGTTATGTTATTATGTTATTCATTGCCACTCCTATCATTTTAACAAAACGGACTCATTCATTTTAAAGACAGAGAGGAGAGCTTCAAGGGATAAAGAAATACATTCAGCATGACACACTGCTTCAGATTTTATTCTTACCAAGAAGAAAGACTATGAAAGTCAAGAGCAGTTCTTCTCTCTGAATTATTTACTAAAGGTTATTAAGTGTTTTTCTGGTCTCAGCCGTTATTCCACCTGTTCCCCTAAAGCTTTAGAACTTTTTTTGTGATATCCTAGAATTAGTTACTAACTGGCCAAAGAGATGGCTTAACAGACTGAGCCCCTGGTTGGCAGGCAGGAGGCCCTGGGTTAACTCTCACACCACAAAGTCCCTTCTAATCATTGCTGAGAGAGTCCTTAAGCACTAGATTGGGTAAAGCCCACAGGAATCATAGATGTAGCCCCCAAACTGAAACAAACAAAAAACAAAAACAGAAAGGAACTGAGTCTTCATGTGACTCAACTATTCCACTTATTGATGTCTACCCCAAGAGCGCAAAAACTTTGTTCATTGCAGTACTATTCACAATAGCTAAACTCTGGAAACAACCTAAGTGCCCAAGAAAAGAAGAGTGGATTAAGAATTGTGGTACATAATTCACCATGGATTATTCTCAACTATAAAAACAGATGAAATTCTGCAGTTCACTACAACTTGGATGGGGCTGGAGGGTACCATGCTGAATGAGTCAAAGTGAGGACAAATACCAACTGATCTCTCTAATACGTGGAATGTGGAAAACCATATTGAGGGAATAAGTGATAGCCGATGATAATAGACCTGAGAGTCTGCCAACAGAACTGCTTTCACTAAGGGAGTTTGGTGAAGGAATGCTAACACTCTGATGGTGGGTGTGGCATAGCAACACCAAATTCCGAAACATTAACAGTATTGTGTTTATACAAACAGAAAAACAGATAAACCAAAACTGAAGACAAGAATAAAGATTTAGACTGTCATCACTAAGTTCAGTTACTGATAAACAGTTTCAACTACTGCTTCATAGACCTGGAAAATAATACTAGATAAAAGAAATATGACCATATAGCACCATTGGCTATATTCGATGACTACATTGGATAGAAGGATAGGACATTGTATATGATAACTGCCTTGCATATGGCCAGCTTGGGTCCGATTCCCAGATCCACCTATGGTCCTTTGAGCACTGCCAAGGAGTGATCCCTGAGTAGAGTCAGGAATTAGCACTGAGCATAAGAGGAACTGGAGAAAAAAAAAACAATAAAATAAAATAGATGACTAAGCATATTGGGAGTGATAGCAAAGAAGATTTGTGGGGGAAAAAGTTATTCCCAAAGGAACAGAAGGTCAAGAGATTAACCCTTATTTTGGGAAAATGTCTAAAACGGGAAGAAAAATTGTGATTTTATTTGAAGGACTGCTTAACCACTAACTTCCCAGCTATCCCAAATGCTCACTAAACAAGGATAACAAGTTAACATTACTAGGCAATAATATTTGGGAAGATCACGACAATACCTCATCAAATTCTGCATAGCTGAACAGCAAAGAGAGAGTCTACACAAGCCTGCCAATCTGAACAGGTCTTGAGGGTCTGATGTCATCTGGTATCCACCGTACTTTGCGTGGATGAGGAGAGACACGTCACAAATGCTACTAACTTGGAGATGTGGCTAACTTTGTTGAAATTCTATAAATGTTGTCCAGGAAGGAGGTCTTCATCTCTGGGCTCCATATGTGGCAAGGTCCCTCACTCATCATTATGACACTTGTAGAGCAAGATGAGATAGAAGAGAACTGATTATATCTCATGGAGATAACCAAGGAAAAGATGCTTCTTATCAATATTTTTTGGGGGGTCCTTCTTCCTTGTCTTTGTTCCTAGGAGAATACTCATGAAGGCAGGAGGAAGGAGGTGACTAAAGGCATGTCCCTTTACTCCACACCATCACAGCCAGGTGCAACTTGCAAAGGATTTCTGAGTTTCAACTTGACAGGACTGAGTCTTACATGAAAAGAAGCTTATAAAGAAAACCAGAAGGATACCAGAAGTCAAGTACCAAGGAGTCAACTAGAAAGGAAAAGAGAAGTACAAAAGGAAGCACCATTTTTAGGATGGGATATTTGTTGAAAGAAGAAAGCTATGCTTTTTCGGTTTCATTTCTGGGTTACACCAGATAGTGATCAGGGCCGACTCACAGTTCTGCACTTAGGGATGGCTCCTGGTGGGGACCATATGGGGTGCAGGGGATTGGAGCTGGGTCGGTCACGTGTAAGGCACACACCCTACACAATGTACTATCTCTCCAGACCCCCTAAGAGTGTTTTTTATTCACATAATTTGAGGGATTTCGATGAATGTGTTTTACTAACATAGTTGGACAGCACTGAATTAGTTAATATAATTAACTCATGAGTTGAGCAACTGTTTATAGCCAAATATACTTCATACTGTTAACTCACTCAATTCTCCATATAATTTCTCAAGTATTTCTCTCATTATTATTTTACAGGTAAAGATATTGATAGAAATTCAGAGGAATTAAATACAAAAATAAAAGTCACATTTCATTTCCCTGGTCACAAGATTTTTCTTCTAGGAAATATCTATGTGTATGTGTGCGTAGAATACATATATGAACACACAATTACACATTTATATATGCACACAGTTAATTTAATGTAATGTAGTGGTTTTTTTTCAATCTCTGGGTGGTTTCTAATGCATCTGTGTTTGTAGCACTCAAAGAAACAGAAGAATGTGACAAATCTGAAGTTATTTAAGAGATTAAAATGGATAATTGTTTCAATATGTGTGTGTTAAATACATCGAAGGAAAACATTTGTTTAATTTGGAATTCAATGAAATACCACACTTAAAAGTCGAGTTAGTCTTTGTCAGAATGTACATCTAAACATCCAAAATACCAAAAGAGAGAATTTCTTTTTCCTTAAAGACATGTAAGACCTTTTAGCACAAAAGCAACTATTTTGGCCATCCATAGGGGGTTATAAGAAAGCCGCCTCTACTATGAAAGGGTGCCAGCATTGTTGTAATTGGATAAATCACATTCTGTAGAGCAAAACATCTTCATGTTAAACAAGGGCTGGTTTTTAACTACTACCACCCTGTGCAAATGCTGAGGACAGACAGAAAATTTATTCAAACCATCTGTAAATAAGGAAAGTCCAGGGAACGTGTGATAAACATGTACAGTTTGAACTATGTAATATATTCTATTTGATAACAAAAGGCTACTCAAGATGTTGCACTCAAGTGGGATTTATCACAACTGAACATCAACTCCTGGGATTTTTTTCCCTTTAGATTTTTGTTCCTGATGGGTTTCCATGTCTTGTGAAATAATGTACATGTTTATGACCATGAATCACAACACTGTAGGCTCCTGAAAAAATCATGCCTTCATAAACATGTTCAATAGAAGAAAGGAATGATGCTATGAATTTATGAAAAAAGATCTTTTGTTGTTCTTTTTCTTTTGGGGACCACACCCGGTGATGCTCAGGGGTTACTCCCAACTTTGTACTCAGGAATTACTCTTGGTGTTGCTTCTGAGATATGGGATGCTGGGATTAGAACTAGGGCATTTGCCTTGCTTGTGGCAAAACTGAATTCAGTCCCTGGTACCACATATGTTCCTCCAAGCCAGCGAAGAGTGATTCCTGACTACAGAACCAGGAGCAATCCCTGAGCATTGCTGAGTGTGGCCCAAAAGCCAAAAGAAAAAAAAATCAAAAATACATGATGGTCATTAGCATGAAGGTATAATTATCCACAATAATGGAAGTTTATCTCATTAAGTATAACAGGGTATAATGGGTTGTTTCAGCAATTCCTTATATGTGAATTTATATATATATGTATTTATCACTATTAATACATGTTCCTTTAACATATAAATATAAAAGTTCATGTACAAACTAAAGCATGGACTTCACTAAATGTTTATTATGAACTGAGTAAGGAGATGAAGACTTAGCTGGGTTCAGAGATTAAAGGGATCACAAGCAAAGAATTGAGGAAATGCTTCACACTTTAAGAGATGGAATGATTCTATTAAAAGACATGTACTTAACAATGCTAACTAAATATTGCTCTGTGGCAGACAGTCTTAAATAGTTCTTTTTTAATTTAACCATTGGTTTACATCACTGTAACATATTTTTAAAACAGCTTAACACCTCTATATGTATGCATCTCTTCCTGCAACTACCCCTAAGTTCCAGTTCTTTTCAAATGCCTCTCTCTTAACATTCTTCCAATCTTTTCTTTCTCCTTTCCTCAGGTAACATAATTATTTCCGATTACAGAGGTATGTTAATTGTATTTTGCCAACTTATTTACTCTTATTTTATGTTTTACATGGGATTGAAATTGTCCTATAATTGTCTTAACCTTCCTGGCTTATTTCCATGTAGCATAATCTCAAGTTTCTTCCTTGGGTGTTACGAACTCTTGGCATTGTAATGAGGAGCCCAAAGGAAACACAGATTCTTTAACTCGAGAAAAGAGAGGGGCTAATGATATTCCAGGAAGATGGAATGGGATGGGAAAAGACTTGGAGGAGGGTAAGAACACCACTCATTCCTGGAACTGGAGGAAACTTGAGTGAAGGCAATGGGAATAGTGCTCAGGGAAATGGTGATGCTAAGGATGGGAAAGCATGTGGGGGTCACATCACAAAGGACTTTGATTGCTACATTAAAGAATCGTGTCCTATTCTAAGGGAAATGGGAAGCCATTCGGGGATTTTAAGCAACAGAGAGACTTGATCATTGCTGCATTTTAGAAAAATGCCTCTGCACAGTCTGTGGCAGGAAGATTAGATTGAAGAAGGGGCGAGGCTAAAGGCAACAAGACCACTTATGGACCATTACGGTAATATAGGCAAGAGAAAATGGCTGGTGGAAGTGGGAAAGTGCCTTTCTGGCTGGAGATATGTGTATCACTCAGTGATATTTAAGCAGTAAAAATCTACAGGAACATGTACTTGGATATATGGGTCTGTAGTTGTAAAGTGAAATCTGTAGAGAAATAGCTATCTATCTCTAATGAGTGCATCATTAGAGGAGTGGCAGGATGATGAGAAACGTACGTCATCTACTGATGGGGCAGACGGCTGAATAAGTCAAGGGTTTCAGAAGAGGCTTCACTCAGAGATTTAACTAGAGATGGGAATCACAGTGTTGCACACATTGTATTAAAAAGTAGACGCAACCTGAATGTCCAAAGTGTGTGTATTTAGCAGGGGTACTTAAATGGAAAAGTGAAATGGAAAAATACATCGTGCAGGGCAATGACTTGCTTAGAAAATTCTGGCTTATCATAAATTCAAGGCAATATAAGACTAGGTAGAGATGAAGGAACTGAAAACATCTTTGCTGAGGTCTTAGCAGTTACTAGTTAAAATGACATTGATCTTTTGTAGCTTCACTCAGTAGTTTCAAAATTTTATAAATATCCTAGTATATACCTTCAGTATAGCAGAGCAATAATTACTTTTTATTTCACATGGGACTGCATTCGCTTTTACTGGTACCCAGGATTATTTTCAGCAACAATCCTGGAAATAAAACTCTTCGTACCTTCAAAGACTGAACTCAGACCTTCCATTCAAAAGGCTAAATTTAGTCAAATAGGATTTTTTTTAAGTGCAAGCGCCCACTGCATTATCTACTGACACATATCAATACTGAGTTCAGACAAGTAACGATGCCCTTAAGCTAGCAGTTGGGTAGGTTAACTAGGAATTCTTTGCTAGTATTGGATTCCATTCATCAAATATTTACTGAAGAAAGCTTTGTGGAATTCACCAAGGCAGCTAAGAAGCTCTGCCCTCAAAAAGCCTTTCATTTCAAGCAGGGGAACAGATAGCAAGAGCAAATGCTGACATGACATAAAAACAGATTTCTGTGCAAGGCAATGGACAGATCTGCATGAAAAGTAAAGAACAGATTTTGGTATTTTATTTGCCATGCCACACAACTGGAGGTAGAGGGGTGAGTGCAAGAGTAAGACTGACAAGTCAGATTTCACTGTGACCCAGTCAGGTAAGAGTGGACTGACCCCCCCTCCTTGCCCCCTTCCCACTTTGTCTAGTACAGCTCTCTGCAACGAGGATGCAGGATGTACCGCTGACTGGAATTGAAATTGAAAAGAGATAAAGGTTTGTTGAGGGTCTGGGAGAGGAGTAGAAAGTAAAGACATGGTTGTGAGTGATTTGAATACTGGGATAGAAAGATTGGATTCTGAACGGGAAAGAATCATACCAGATTTGGTATAAAGAAACATAAGTTAGAGTGGAATAAAAAGGAAAACTGAGAAGAGTGAAGATCAGTTCAAGGAGATGGCAGAATTTCAAGGGATAGGATCTGAGACACAGTTCTTTTATTGAATGGAAACAAAAGAAGTTACTACTCAAAAAATACTTGGGGAATAATTTAATTTGGCAATGGGAGGGGGACAACAGAGAAATTACACAGTGGGAGAGTTAAGTTGATTGAAAATTACAAAGATTTTGTTCCTTGTGATTTTGCCTACTCCCCTGGCTATATTTTTGGACTTTTACACATTTTTGTGTGTCAAATATATAAGGATTAGGAATACTAAGCAACTGAATTGAACAGACTCAACAATGGAGGACAATGAAGGAGTCTGAAAGATCAAGTATAATAACAGAAAAATAATTTCGCTTAGGAGAGTCAGAGTTTTTGCAACTTTACCCTTTTACTTGGGGCTGGAGCAATAGCACAACGGGTAGGGGATTTGTCTTGCAAGCGGTCAACATGCCCCATCCGAGTTCTATTCCTCCACCCCTCTCAGAGAGCCTGGCAAGCTACCCATGACGTATTTGATATGCCAAACACAGTAACAAGTCTCACAATGTTACTGGGCCCGCTGGAGCAAATTGATGAACAACGGGGAGGACAGTAACAGTGACCCTTTTATTTACTTCCACTTCCCAAAATTCAGAAGGGTTCCCTGGGGCTAGGGGAATTTATAACAAACTAGCCTGAGGTTTGTAGTTTGGAGATGATGATAGCCTCTCCAGGAAAAGCTGTAGTTTTGCATTCTGCTGGCTGTGAATGAGTCACAGGGAACTGTAAGAACATCTTTAAGATGTATGAATATAAGATGTATAAGATATAGAAGAGTGCCACCCCACCCTCATTCCCCCAACACACATAGACACAATACCAGCCAGTGGAGACTGTGGCAGAGTCCTTCTCAGCCTTGACCCTCCTTGGTTTTCATTTACGTACTAAAAAAATATCCCCTTGGTGACATTTTGCTGCCATTTTATAGACAAGCAACATCTGCTCATTGTATGTTTCTCAACTGCGCATGCTCTCCATTCTCCCTCATGAATTCAGAAGAATTTCCTGAAAAACTACTAGAACATGTGTAAGTTGTTACATCACTGTATCTCTGCTGGGCATAAAACCATCCTCCTCCTCTCTCTCTCTTTGTAGTTGTTCTCCAGCCTTCCCAGCGTAAGTTATTTTCATTGCCAATAAAGCCTCTCTTTTTCATTTAAATGCTTTTGTGCTTTTTTTTTTTAAGACAACAGAGCATACCCACATAAAATTTTTATCATGGTAGTGTCCAGGAAAAAAGGCTTGACTGACTAATTAAATTTGACAGCCATTAGAATGTATGTAACAGTAAAACCAAATGATGGAATGATGACATGAAGATGGGAATAGTAAAATATCTGTTGTATACCTGCTCCAGATACTTAACGTACATTCTCTCATTTGAATCATCTAACTGTGCTTAAAGCAGGCACAACTGCAGAAAGCTTAAGTCAAATACCTCTTCTGATACAGTACGAGGAGGTTTGCTTTCAGTAGGCTGATGGAAGTAAAACAGCGTAAGCCAGAAAGCAGCCATCTGAGGAGTCAACAAGAAGAGGCAGCAAAAGAGTTCGAAGAGAGGAGAGCATGGAACACAGAAGGGGAAACAAAAGTAAAGAAAAGACAAAAATAAAGTAAGGTTAACGGTAAGGTTAACAGTGAGGAGAATGAAGGGTTGAATGGAAAGGATGAGGCTGGAAAGTCAAGTTAAACTAATATTTTATTGCTAGAAGACATAAGAAATCAAAAAGGCTGGTATGCCAGGAAGAAGATACTAGGCCCCACTTATAATATCAAGAAGAATGGTGAGGAAATAAGTAATTTGTGAGAATTGAAAGAGAATGTCTAGGTATTTCAGAACTAATAGCCTCTAATTGCCTCTCATTTGCTTTGAATGAGACTTACAGTGATATCCTGTGACCTTAATAGGGCAAAGAGATGACTTATATGCTTTCAATCCTCATGAAGTTTCATGGGTTGATACTATTAAAGTTAAATGTCTGGGCATACAACTTCCCCCTTGTCACATATAAAAAGGTTTAACTACTTCCTTGATTTTAGTGGGTTTATTGTTTGAATTAGATAATATCCTCTATTCATAGAATAGTTAACAAGGTTGCAAATTCTAGTTCAATTTACAAAATTCAAGCGATATAAAACAGAATTTGTTACTCACTGAAGAGTACTGAAAAGACATCTCAGAAAACTACATACTCAGATGAGTATACAGACATTATATATTATCTATCCATCTATCTATCTGTATATATATTGCCAAGAGAAATAAAAATAGTATAAACAATATGCTCAACAATGAGAGAAGAGCTAAAATGATACAGTAAGTTTTGTTTAGATTTTTTAGTTCTTGGGTCACACCTGGGAATGCTCAGGGGTCACTCCTGAGGTTACTCCTGGTGGTGCTTGGGGGACCATCTAGGATGCTGGGTATCAAACCTGGATTAGCTGCCTGCAATGCACATGCCCACACTGTTAGACTGCCACTTCAGCCCCAATATACTGGCTTTTTAATTAGTTGAAATGACAGCAGTTTTTGTTATATTTGCCTATGAAAATAATGAACTGGCTTCTATTGCTAACTATAAATACTGGAAAAAAAAAGCCTAACATGCACAACCACAAATTCAAATTATTTAGTAAGTAGGGGTAAAATGGCGCGAATTTAACAATGAAACAAAATAAATGTACCTGAGGTCAACACAAAATAAAAGATTCTGCTGTAGGGATACAAATTATTATGCAGATTTAGTTTCAAAAGGAAGAAGAACATTGTTTTTCACTGGCCAAAGAAATAACTTCATACACAAGGAAAACTAAATGACAAATACACTTGTCATCAAGAAAAAAAGTGACAAGATTAGCAACTCATACATTTAGCACCTAATCTCCATGTGTTTATGAATGCAAATATCATAAGGGGCTGAATATTAATGCACATTACCTTTTGGCCACAGACTCATTGGAATCAATCCAACATGTTGGGCACAGATAGTACTCAATATGTCAATGACCAAGACTTCGAGTGGGTTGATACTGGGATCTGGAAAGGCTCATGTGTCAGTGGAAATTGCTGCCTGTACAAGCATCCTATAAACATCTCTCTGGAATTGAAAGGATTTGATTTGTCAACAAAGAAGGCAGGGGACAGCATACCTCCTGTCTGGTTGGTGCTGCATGTGACCCATCTCCTCTGGACAATCCTGCAACATAGGCTGGAGCTCTTCCTGTGGGGAGGGAGTGAGTGTGGCAGTGGATTGATGGCTGTAAGACACTGCAGCTGGAGAGGACGCTGCACCCCGCACGGGTGGTGTGGGGCCCCTTTCATCATCTTCTTCCTCTAGTTCATCCTGTTGCAAGTACATCCTTGCTGGTGGCACGGGGCATGGCATTTCTTGGTCATAGCTACAACCAATTAGAAGGACACATACATTCATTCCAGGTAGAGTCACATGAACTATTCGTAGGGTGAGGGGATATGAACTTGGAGTTGTTTTTCAAATATGGAAGTTCTGAGCCACATTAAGGCTCATAATTTCATATTTATAAACACTGTGATTGTTACAAATGTTTATGATTAGCTACATACCACCTCCTCACCCCTTTAGGGAATGCAATTTACATGGATATATTATTGGCTTGGAGGACTCATGTAATCAAGAGGTTTACTGAGCAGAATTTAACTTAACATTCCTCAAATGAGTTTGATATATTTTATATTTTATCTCTCTGAATCATGAAGTTCTCTAAAGGGTGAGTCAAAGGTGGTGTTCCAGATGCCCCAAAGATGACATTCTGAACTGTGAGAAAAATGACTCCCAAAAATCTTTTCGAAGTGAGGTCAATAGGGAGATTCAGTCCAATATTACAAACTTTTCCCCTGAAATTTTCATAAATCACTACTTCATCAGTTGGACACAGAATTAAGTAATTGCAATGGTTCTTGAAGAATATAATAAAGCAGCCGAAAATTTGTCCTTTGTAGTCCTTTACTAGAGTGTACTTCTCTTTTCTCCTACCGGAGGACATACAGTTATTGAATGTTATCAGAATGGCAGTGATTTATTATGGTAGCACTGTAGCACTGTCCTCCTGTTATTCATCAATATGCACGAGTGGGCCCATTGTGAGACTTGTTACTGTGTTTGGCATATTGAATACGTCACAGGGAGCTTGCCAGGCTTCGCCGTGCAGGCGAGATACTCTCAGTAGCTTGCTGGGCTCTCCAAGAGGGGCGGAGGAATTGAACCGGGGTAGATCGGGTCGGGTGCATGCAAGGCAAACACTCTACCGCTGTGCTCTCACTCCAGCCATAAAATATTATATATAATATGCAAATAAATTTATATATAAATACATATATATAAATAAATATACATTATGTCAGTAATCTAAGAACTGCAAACGGCATAGTAATTTGTTCAATATCCATACTAGACATCTTATGTTTTCCTTGATTTCTCCTTCTTCACCAAACTCTTCCTCAACTCATCTCTATTTCTAATAATTTTCTGTAATTGGTTTTATCTTTGCTTGTTTTTTGCACCACACCCAGAGATGCCTCAGGAACTCTGAGGTTTTTGCTTAGAGGTCACTCCAGACAATACTCAGGGCATAATGCAGTGCTGGGGATCAAACCCAGGCTTCCAACATGCAAAGCACACAATTCCAGTCTAGCATTATCACTGGAACTCTATGACCGAGTTTTGTTTGTTTGGGTCATATAATGTAGTGCTTGGTATTAGTTGTGGCTCTACACTCCTAGTGGGGCTTAGTAGATCATATGTCGTGGTAGGGATCAAGTCTGTGTTAATTATGAGCAAAAAAAAACTCACCTTACTTGATGTAACTATCTCTCTGGTACCCTATTTTTTGTTTTCAAGTCTGTTCTTCATGCTACTGAAATAAGCTTTTAATTGATCGGTTTGCCTTCACTTTCCTATTTTCCATCCCCACACTGCTTCTAAAATCACTATTAGAATGCACTTCAATCCCAGATCATTCATTTGTTCCAAAGCAATGATTTATGGCTCCCTAACTGTCCAGAAAATAAAATATAAATGCCTCAAAAAGACATTCAAATGTCTATAAATTCTGACTGACTCTTGCCTTCCCAGGTTTCTTGCACACTTTAATATGGATTTTTGCTACTCTTTCAGGAGTCAGATCTCTGGCTTTTTCTAACTCCCACAAACCCCCTTCTCTTGAATGATAACCTTCTCACTTGTCAAGGCCAAGAACTGAAGTCAGCATCCAGGAAAATACCATTCTGGTTACAAACATTCTTTCCTTTGAAGCACAGATGCATTTGCAGCAGTGCTGATTTTTAAAAAGTATTGTGTCTACTTACTTCATTCTAGCTAGATGAGCTAAATTAATCACAACAAACATTAATTAGTAAAGCCTAGAAATTAAAATAGAATCACTTTTATTTGCAGATTCCACATTTCTAAATTAACCTACTCACTGAAATTTATTTGCAACCTCATGGTCAATACCCGTGATTTCTCCTTTCCCAGTGGCCATCCATGGCCATGTACAGAGAAGGTAAAGGAATTGACTCAGCTGAAAAACACGTTCTGTTTTGAGGTCAAATAAAGCAATATACTTCCTCCATGTTTATGATTTTCTGTATAGTACCATGTGGTTCAGTTTAAAAAATAGTATTTTCTTTATTTTAGTTATTTCCTTATTTAAAATATCACACATTCACATACATACACATACACACACACTTGCACACACTGTATTAGTGTTTTTGTTCTGCCTAAAAATGCTCTATTTCTTTCCTTATTTAAAATAACACACACACACACACAAACACACATTGTGTGCAGTGATTTTGTTCTCTCTAAAGCTACTAGTACAAAAAAGCAAAATGTATCTTAAAAGAAAAAAATGTGTATAAAAGGACTTTTATTTAGAGATGGCATATAGTATACTTGGCACTGGATTCAATACCAGTGATCCAACAGCACTTATCAAAAACAGTTATCCTGAAACAAAAACACACAAAATAAAGTTATGTATGGATGAGTTAGCAGAAATGTGAGTAGAGACTTGGAGAAACCTAACCCTGCGTTTCCTCTAGGAGCGATGACTCACTCCGTCTTTGCTAACTGATATTCATGATTTTTCAGTTCCAAGAGAAGTCTTCAAGGTATGCAGAAAATGGCACTGTAGCACTGGCCTCCCGTTGTTCATCGATTTTCTCGAGTGGGCACCAGTAACGTCTCTACTGTGAAACTTATTGTTACTGCTTTTGGCATATTGAATACGTCATAGGTAACTTGCCAGGCTTTGCTGTGCGGGTGGGATACTGTGCTGGGCCCTCTGAAAGGGATGGAGGATCGAATCTGGGTTGGCCACGTGCAAGGCAAATGTCCTACTTGCTGTGCTATTGCTCCAGCCATGCAGAAAATAAAGAAAAAATATATATATACATATATTTTATTTTGGTCATCCTGCAGAGTAATTTAGAGCCTAATGACCTTAGGGTCATAAAGAGATTATAGGCATTAAGGCGCTTGCCTTGCATGCAGCAGACCCCAATTGGTATGAGATATGCTCCCCCAAGGACTGTCAGTCATAACTCCTAAGAAAGCTCTGAGCCCCACCCCCATACAAAAAAATAAGCCTATAGACCTATGGATTCTATTTTATTTAGAGACATGTAATGACAAACTTGAAGTAGGAGTCTCCCTTTATTGATCTAGTTTATCACTATGTAATTGGAGTTTAAGAAGTCACATGCTTCCACTTACGTCTCTTCTTCAATCCCTCTTACCTTTCATCTACTGACATACTGTACTCTTCACTGTTGCTGTGTGGTGGCGGGTGTGCTGGGGGTGGAGGGAGCAGATCTGCCCAGTTCAGACCTCCCTGTTTGGGCGCTTTGGGTGTCCGTGCCCCTTTTTTGTGGCCTTGACTCCCTTCAAAACAAATACAATTCAAGTCTTTTATTTCTAATCTTTAAAGATTTCTATTATTCACAGGTTAATTCTTTTCACAAATAGGCTTTTTTAACTCCTACATAAAGAGATAAGCATAATTTTGTTCATTTTAAACATTGTACGATAAACGATGCCAAATATTTCTGAGATTTTTCCACAATTTAAACTGCAAAAAAGCAATAAAAATCATAAATGAATTTTACAAGTCATATCATTAATAGTAATCTTCTTACAGCAATTAATTGCATTATGGATTATTATCTAAAACAAATGAGCTGTAGACATATTTTCTGAAGTGCCTTTCTGTTATTTAATTGCTGGAACCTAAAATACAATATGATACAGATACAATCTATTAGAGTTCCACTCTTGCATTAAATCACTGGATATACATAATTTGTACTTGTCCATGAAATGTTTTAGGCACAATGGAATTACTAGTTTTTGTCAGAGAAGCAGGTGCAGGTGAAAGTAATTGTTGGAAGAACTAATATAACGAAGAACAAAAGGAATAGAAAAAACTATTTTTCAAAGGGACAGAATTTATAGTCACTTTCTATCAAATGATGACATAGAACAATTACGTTGCCTGGACAGTCTCAGTTGCTTGAAATTACATAAGTGCCCTAGTATTCTGATTTTAGACTTTTCATATTCTTTGTCCTCAGGTAGATATTTTATTTTACCCCTGTGAAAAAGCTCTTGGCTACACAGTGCATAACAAGGCCTTTTTGAGCCTTAGTTTATAAAGTTATGGGGAAAGAGTTGAAGGGGAGTGTCTGTAAAACCACATGCTCTTGCACAACTCTCCTTCTGCACGAAGTGTGGGAAAAGGGATAGGCTGTTATAAATAAAATATGAGTGTCAGGCCTCTCCTTGATTGTCTCAAGTCTTTCTTCTCCCATGCAGGTGTCCTATAAAGGATGCCTGTACATGTCTTGTGAATTCAACTATGCCTAGCACCTTTCTCTTGATTTCTGGACACATATCTACTTTCAAACTCCATGAGTCCTGGGAGACCCAGCATCACCAATCTGTATTACCCTCATATACTTGCTTTGCCCTTGCCCTAATGACTACCAGATTTTACATCTATTTTTTTCACCAATTTTATATCTTTAATAAAAAATACTTGTTGATATCAATGATATGATTAGAAGAGCAAATTTAAATGTTGAAAACAGAGTTTACTGCATATTAATGGAATCATATATCTCCCATTAAGATACAATTTTCCTTCTAACTGGATAAGAATTTATCACAATTTATCATTACTTATGTATCTATAACTAATATGTTAATATAGTTTATATGACTCACTATTCAACTTATGAAAGTAATTTAACAAGATTTTAATTGTTAAAACCAATGAAAAACACATGGTAGACTAAGATTAGATTTTTGGGCTAGGGGTATGCCTAAGCAGTAGGGTTGATGTCCAGAGACAGAGACAGAGAGAGATAGAGAGACAGAGAAGAGGAGAGAGGAAGGAAAGAAAAAGAAAGGAAGGAAAGAAGGAAGGAAGAAAGGAAGGGTGAGAGAAAAAGGAAGAAGAAAGAAACAAAGAGTAAAAGAAAGAGAGATCGGAAAAAAGGAGAAAGAAAGAAGACTTAAAGGAATAGAGAAAGGAAAGAAGAAAGAAAATTCAGGGATAAAAGAAAAAGAAAGGAGAGAAAAAAGATGGAAGGAAGGGAAATAAAAGCAATGTCAGATTCCCCAAAAGCAATGTCTTATTTCTGTTTTTCTTTCATCCAAGTGGGAATACTTTCAATCAGTGTAAAAGCTCAGGCACAGAAGATGCCAAATAATCATGTTTTACTCAAAGGAGCATGCTAAAATGCAAATGCCACATTCATTCCAGAAGAAAGGAACAGATACTGGGCTACAATAGCTAAACATCCCTAGTAACTACTTTAATCCAGTTGTGGTGGCATTTCCATCCTCTCTGAAAAACATACTGGAGTTCAAGATCAATTGGTTTTGTTCTCATTGTGGTGTGACTTGCCACATGTTAGCTCTAATAATGAACAGCCTTTAATTAGAAAAGCAGGACTTAAGTACCAACAAGCCTCCATCTGCAGCCCCCATCAGGAAAACAGCTGGCAAACAGCTGCACCAGCAGGAAGACCACAGGGAAGAGACCCTGGCCGCAGTGTGGCTTTGTAGGCACTTAACAGACTCACACTGCAAAGTTCCTTTCTTAGGTTTTAGAATCAAATAGAGGAATAGCAAGAGAGATTTATAAACTGAGGCAGGGTCTTAAATCTTAGGCTAATATCTTTTAGGCTTTTGATCTGTCCAGGCTCATGCATATAAAATTTTAAGTGCCAGAATAGCCTTGTTTTAAAATGTAACATATTTGGAGAAATGGAGGCCAGGGTGGAGGGAAGGTGCTCATGATGGTGATACTGGTGTTGGAATACAGCATGCCTGTAACAAGCCATCAGGAATGGCTTTGTAAACCACCATGTGTAAATAAAGTGGGAGAAAATGTAACATGGCCGAGTAGCTGTAATTGCAGCAATTTTAGTTGTATTTTCTTGGTGGGGGCTGTGAAAAAAAGGATGTTTCACTTGTCTTGAAAAATGAATTCATGCTTCTGATTTTGCTAAAATTCAGGATTTGTCTGTCTTTGCTTCCAAATGAACAGAAAATAGACCGTTCTTAAGCGGCATTGAAAATGCCCAAGCCTTGAAGATTCAAATGCCATAACGCGATTAGTCATGTATTATGTTTACTTAGTCCATTAGTATTTCATCTGTAATCTTGTAATATGTCTTCCTTGAAAAGAATCTACTTATTTGGTTTCCCCTTACTTACCAGATGTACTACTGCCCCGGTCGGAACTATTATAGGATCCTCCTGTATTCTGATCGTATGATTGGTTGTACGGGATAGTTGGAGGGATCGTGTCATTTGCCCGATAATCTAGACAATTTAAGGTGGGGAAAAATACCATTTATTTTCACTTTTTTTCTCAATCAATAACCAACAATGAGGCTTTTAAAATATCAAGTTAATCACATAGGTGATATGCAAGTTAATCATATAAGAAAGAGTGTTCAGGAAGAAAAATTAAGAGAATGCAAAGCGTTTTTAAAATGTCATCTAAGATTTATGAAAAATAAATTGTTTGCACTTTATATGAATCAGACTAAATTTAGGAATAAGAATTCATCTGAGAAACAATTTCTTCTCTTTAAATTATTTATAAATCAGCGAGGGCAGAAATCAGATTTGCTTGATTTCTTAACTTAGAATAATATAGTAAGAAAATAACGTTAGAAATAATTTAAAATCAGGACAATATCAAGTTAGAATAGCATAAAAATAAAACTTGTCAGTAAGATTATACCTCATACCATAAGAAGACCAAATATCTTAATCTTACTCCAGAAATGCTTCTGCTTTATGGGCAATGGTGAAAATCCAAATGATACACTCAACATTGAAATGCATGACATAAATATCTGTCAGTTTAGTTACACTGCAGGGTCTCTATTAAAGTTTGATATATCAAGTCTGTTTATAAGCAATATGTACAATAAATTAGAGAGATGCTTTTTTTGTGCCAAGGAATGTTGCTGTTTTCCAAAGTCTACACTAAAGTTACATACTTTATGTGGAGGACAATGTAATGATACTTGAATCCCACTGTCTATAAAAACCCTGATCACAGGAACTGTCTTATTCTTCTTTGTCAGCCTTTGTTCTAAACTTACATAAGAGACTTAATAAATATTTATTGAATTGGAATGTTATAACAACCAAATGTGTTCTAAAACTGGAAAAAAAACACTTAATGACCAAACTATGAAGTTCAAGCATGCCACAAGAATGTACTCAAATGAAATAGGTTTTTTTTTTTTTGTACTCTCCAGCTGCAATAAGCTTTCATTTTGGGAAGAAAAGTGGTAGTCTCAACTCAATCCTAAAGAAAATAAATCTATGCCTCTAATTATCTACAATAAAGTGTACCCTGAGATTGAACATTTCTACAAAATTTCCCCAGTCTATTCAAATCAGAGCGATTCCTCATTTTCCTAGAGGTACAACTTTGCAAATCATGCTATTATAGCAGTAGCCTGAAGGAACTGCGAAGAAATCAAATACCTATCTCTTTCAATGGATACCTATTACAATAGAAAAACATTCCCCTCAGGCCTAAAATACTATCTGCAGCTACAAGCTAACACTAAACTCAATTTAATTTAGGATCTATCTTGACAGACATCAATCAGGTCAACCAAAGAAATTAAGGCTCTAAAATAATATACTGCAGTCGCCTTAGAAATAAAATGCTGTTGGAAAAAAAAATACAACAAAGTGTTCACCACTTCTCCGGTTCAAGCTTAATTTAATTATTTTTCTTCAGTTTGATATAAAAACGCCATTCGTTTATGGGGCCATGTAGAAGCAATTATCCTCCATTCTCAAGTGGAAAGAATGGAATCATCTATTTATTTTAAATGTGAGGTATTGTGATGGTTGTACATCTGCCTTATGAATAAAAGATGGTCTGTCCAAAGCAATTCCTCACCTACGATTAAATTTAAATTAATCTCAAAACCATTTGAAAATACTTATATATTATTATAAAATCAATTTTCCAAGGTATTGTTGTGCTAATTAAACTCTTTTGACATTGGACATTTCAGAACCCCAAAGAAGGACCTCAGTAGCAACAAAAAAGAAAGATTTCACTTGCTAGTCCCACCCAAGTTTCGATGGAGCACTGAAGGATGAGGAGACCAATACGGAAAGGGAGGGAAGAAAGGCAACGCTCTTCACCTTTGTTCAGTTTGTTTTGCTCCATGATGTTATACTGAATTGGTGCCACTTCCTGCTTCTGTTGTCCGGGTGGTTTCCAGTGCTTCTCGCCAGAGTCCCCGCTGCCATTGTTCATGTTATTACTGAGGTTTGACTGGATGAGCTGGGTGGTGGCGTAAGGCGTGGGCTGCCCTGATGGATTGACAAAACGCCCATCCTTCAGATTTGGGCTATTGAAGGTTTTCATCTCATTGATTTTGTTACTAAGGTCCACATCACCATAAACAGTTGACTCAGGGAGCATCAGATTTGTTTGTTTGTTATCCAGTTGGTTGTTATAATTTGCTATACAATCAGCTACGTGCAATGAAGAGGAAAAGGAAAAAGTCATTCTGCATGGTTATTCCTTTAAATTTGTTTGTAAGTAGCTTTGTGTATCATGGTAGAATTATTTATGTAAGAAGCAAAGGGGTTTATGTAAGATTGATTCAAAAGGGTCAAGTATTCACGTGTATATCTTCTAGAGAAAGCCAATTGTAAATGGGGATAAGAGAAGATACACAGAATTTATATAGAGGTTAAATCATGTTGAAGCTCTAGTGCTTATGTAGTAAAATAAAAAGTTCTCCCATTAAAGAAAGATACATTTCTTTAACAACACCATTAATAGGAACTGTACTAATATAATCCTTGCCAACTTTAATTTTTTGTTGAGTTATTTACAATTTGAAGGTACTAGTTAGCTATTGAAGCAACAAAATAAAGCATGTAAAGTTGAGAATACTCCCCCCCAAAAAAAGTGGAGAAAAACAAAACTCTGCCCTCAGATCAAAGAATTCAAGCGTCTGGTAATTTATAAAGTAGCTATATTTTTAAAAGATACAAGGAAGAGATAGTACATAATGTTCTGGAGAATTTTAAATTTGCCTCTTGGGGTCAGCCATGTGCAAGTTGAGTATCTCTGTCCTTTAGTATCTTTCAGATTTTTGCTTTCATTATGTTTCAGGTTTTCTCTAGTTTTAAATATTACATGCTCTACATCCACATTTGCTATATTATGTTTTAGCATGAAAATTTAACAAAATAATTTGCTCAAACCCACATATCTCTAAGCCAGACACAGAGTACACAAAACCCATGCAAGCATACACACAGCATATAAATGTTTCTTAAGTCTTCAGGATTTATTTCTATGCTGTAGAAATATGATTTAATTTCAGCTAATTTTCAATTATTTTGCTACAGCTGTTATATACAATTATTATAATGATTATTTTCTTCCCTTTGAAAATTTGCTTCCTTCTAACTATAATGCACTGACCTTTGATCCCGCTTACTCCTTTAGTACAATTAAGATTTTAATTACATGCATACTTAATGTGAATGCTTATATAAACTTGCATTTTTTTCCTTATTACTAACTACACTTAATATTTTGGTTGTCGTTTTGGTTTCTGAGTCATACACAGCTGTGCTCAGGACTTATTCCTGCTTTGACACTCAAGGATCGCTCCTGGTGGGGCTTGGGTGCTAGGGATCATGGCTCGAAGAGTTCCATTCAAGGCAGGCTCCTTACCTGTGGCACTTACTCTCCAGCCCTAACCAGACTCAAATTCACCTTGCTCACTCTCCTTGCACAATGGTAAACTTTTCTTTTGGTTGAAGGCACAGATGGAGATAAAGGGATTGAGAAGATACTTGAATCGGGCTAGTATGTGACACAGGCATGAACACCACCATGGAAAGAAATATAAATGGGGTTTTCTTTTCGAATGGACAGGGAGGGAAAGGAAATCTGCCTCTTCCTGGCTTGCTCTAACAATGTTTCTACACATTTGGTGGCCTGTGTCTCTCTAACCTGGGCGGCTGTAGGTAGTGAGGTTGCTGTCACTGTTCCCATTGCCCGCTGTGCAGCAATTGATGGAGCAGTCATTGTGGTTGTTGCTACTGTTGGGCCACGTGTCTGCCAGCCACGGCTGTGTGGCAGGTTCACTGATGTTGAGAAGTCCTGGCCTAAAGAGAAGCAAAATAATAATAATAATAATAAAAAACAACTATAAAAGCAAGTGTCATGTAAACCGCAACTCAAACATACTCCAGAATTCCTAAAAGTTTGTCCCATTATTCTCAAGTCATTTGCTGAGCTCTGCAGAATAATACATTCTTTTCACAGTGGCTAGAACTGTGGTTCTAAAAATCTCTTTGGTTCCCATAGCTATCACTTTATAAATGGCAAGTTATGCATCAGACTTAAGCACCTACATTATTTGCAATGAAACACCCTAATCAGGTATAGTGATTACAAATCAAACACGAATTTATAAAAAAAAATACAGATATTTCCTTTTCTTTCAGCATCTGAGTTTGTGTTTCTTCATTCCAAACCTATTTGAAAAAAATCATTCCTCCAGCAATTTTGTTAAAAAAGTAAAACTAGGGTTTTCTTTAGACAACGAACAAAAAAGCATACGTGCTTATTTCTTCATTAAAATCGTGTTTCAGAAATGGCTAAGTTGGGGCTTTGTGAATTCTTCAGAGCCTCATCACTGTTCTGATGCACAGCTCCTGTCTCCATTTTCTAATGATGACAAGGTAAAATGCCACCAATTCCCACATAAACAAAGGAAAGCTGTGGAGCTGAATCTGGTGAAACAAAGATGTGCACTGTAAGGAATATCAGCACCCGTGTCTCTTTTGGCACAACTGATGCTAATCCTCTTTCCCTGTGTGTTGTGAATGAGAAGTGTATTAGCAGTTACTAATGGACGCCCTGGACCACCAAACACCAGCGCACAAACTGGAGTCAAGGTCAGAAGCCCCGATGGTCTTTTCCAACTCTGACTCCATTTGGTAATTTAGCAAAAGAGGTGATGACACATGGTATGCTTCAGAGATGTAACATGCAGATGCCAAGGATCAGGCTACGATTTCCTTTGCTTCCTTGGTTAATGTGCAGTAACCATGCTTCTCATTCACCTGGTAAAAATTGCCTGGCATTTACTCTTCATGATTCTGATTCTCATACACAGACAGTTGAGGAAACTTGAAAACCCTCAGTGAAAAAAATGATGGTTATTTGAAGAACAATTGACTACAACTGAAGAATATGGATTTATAACATCCAGTGTATACATGTTCACATACATATACTTATATATGTATGTATATAGATATACCATCCACATACACTATTACACACATATGAATATATTAATATAACAGCATTTAAGTGCGTTAATGAGGCATATATAACTACATGTATATATGTACGCATATATACCCATCTGTATATATGTATAATCCATATTATATCCATATATGGATTATACATATGTAGTTAAGTATCTGTAAAAGTAACATTTACTCTTTAATATGTGACACCGTTTTGTGATTTCTACAGGTGTTAACTCATTTAATCCTCAAAACAACTGTATTAAGCTATCAAGTAGATACTATTATTATACGAATTAGAGTGGCAATACAGTTGGAGAGTCCCACAATGATCCAGGATGCCATCCAGGTGCAAAGGAGAGTGCTGAGATTTCCTAAAGCCCTCACATACTCTTAATAAAAAGAAAGGGAAATGTCTGAAGTCTTTCTACTCAGAATAAAACCCTTAAGACAGCACTCACTATTATAACTGATGATATCAACATGCTTTAAACAGCAGTGTAACTGAACTGTTCAAATTTAAAACAATAAAATGCAAAGTATTTCCAGATAACTGAAGCTTTTGAAATAGATGTTAACCATGGAAATTCTGCATCTTGTAATCTTTTTGATTTCCTTATTTTATTTTGAGTTAAAACTGTGTGTGTTAAAGAAACTCTCCATCTAGTAATATTTAGCTTCCCTTATTTTATTTGGAGCTGAAGCTGTGAATTTTTCCTTAGATAATTTATTAAAAATACTTCATATTTGACACACAGTATCATGGGATGTTGGAAGTCTGGGTCAAGTGGAAATTTTCTACAGTCTGACTTATATTTCAAAAGAATAGATAATATTTTTATGTTACTATAGTTCCCTCAGAGAAAGATTCTTTTTAATTTTATTTATTTTTATTAGTGAAACACCATGAGGTACAGTTGTAGACTTACAAATTTTTGTGTTTGGGTTTCAGTTATACAATGATCAAGTACCCATCCCTCTACCAGTGCCCATTTTCCACCACCACAGGTCCCAGTATCCCTCCCACCCCCATCCCCCCATCCCACCCTGCCTCTGTGGCAGGGTATTCCCTTTTGTAGAGAAAGATTTTTAAAGTGAATGTTTTGATATCCATGGATGGGCTGAAAAGAACTTTTTTTATGAATGGGTAATTTCCAACAGGAAGTAGGATTAACAATTCATATCCTAGCTTTCCATTTAGATTTAATTTTGGAATGCTATTTAGGGAAGAAGGTGAGCCATGATTATTGGGCCATCATGAATCTCAAAATGTCAAATGTGTATTTCAGAAATATCTGGGGAAGTCAAGGTCATAAGCAGATACTCAGATAAAGATGCTGAAAACCTTTTAAACATTCTCACTGACTGTCTTTATGCATTTAAGATGATATGGTAGATACAAGAGAGAGAGAGTAGATAGAGATGAAACATTCAAAATAGAGTAGGGATTATGCTATTAATACTTGTCAAATATTTTATGATGGAACATATAATAAATATATTATCATGTCTGATTATACTTTCATGGTAATATATGAGTGGTACTTTGTTTCATCCTTGTCTTCAAAAGAAAACTCTACTAGAGAAAGAAACAAATTAGGATTTGTTAAAAATCATGTCTATTGCAATTTCTTTCAAAAGGACAGCTTGTGTCACGAAGGAACAGAGGGAAAAATTATGTGTCATGTACCTTCTTTTCCTCTTAGTCCAGGTATTCTACTCACTCAAAAAAACAATAAATCAATGATTTGAACTTGCAAACAATAAAATAATCTAGTGGAAGGTAGAACTGGGAAAATGGTCCTTGAAGCTGGCAGTAAGGGTTGCTTTAAAACTGTCTTCTCTTTTCACTGATAGCCGGGGACACATTTGAAGCTGAGGTCAAAGTATATAGCTAAGAATCCCCAGCATTTGAGAGAAACACAAGGTCTGGGATGTGTGTGTTTCTCTGCTCCCACAGCAAGGAAATGTGGGATTGGTCTTTTCCACCTGGTTGACATGACTTTCTCTCTCTTTTCCTCCATCTTGAGCATTTTTCTGCTTGACCGTATGGCAGTTTAGACATGATTTTGGGAGGACATGGCGGGTATGTTGGACATAAGTGAAAACAAAGGAACTGTAACAATGAAGTACTTCCTGACACTTCTCTGGATGATTGCATTACAAATCCTTTGCCCTCTTTAAGTGGGGAAGTGGTCTGTTTGCTTATGACAATCTTCATTCTCTTTTTCCTGGGAATAAATATATCAATAATTTTGAGAACTAGAAGAAATCGGTCAAACTACTTTATTGAGAAGAACTTCCAGGCCTTAAAGTTTTCTCTAAGGGCATAACTCAGGGTTCCAGAATCCATTCTGTATGTCATCCATTCCTTCCTTTCTAGTTACTGTAACATCTTTCAAAAATGAATAATTCATGTATTGATTTTACTGATACAATTTAACAAATTACATTTATTATGTTATAAAGAAAATAATGTATTTCATTTTTTTGGAGGGACCCACACCTGGTGGTACTCAGGGCTTACTCTTGGCTCTGCAAGGATCACTCCTGGGAGGCTCATGCGACCGTATGTGGTGCCAGAAATTGAATCTGCATCGGCCACCTGCAAGGTAAGTGTGCTACCCACTGTACTGTATAGATTCAGCCCTGTATTTAGTGATTTATTATTAAATCTAGTAAACTATGTAGTTTCTCTTATTCTACTATGAGAGACAATTACAAGCCAGGAGTTTGGTATCTTTCCATAAAGAATCCGCCAGGCCCTCTGGAATTAAACTTTAAAGGTTATTTCCGCATGGTGATACAGTGTACTTTCCAAATGAATACTATATCCAGGAATTGTATTAATTTTCAGTCTGCCACTGAAACTAGCATTTGGTATCTATGAATTTTTTTCATTATTTCCCAATGCGGAATAAGCTTGCACATTCCTTTAGAGCAGGAACCAGGCTTATGTCGTGTGTGTGGTATGTGATGTTGTGCACGCGTTCATGCGTAGAGGTCGGTCCAGAACACACAGAAGATGCTCATTAGGCACTTTTGGATGTTTTGATTAATAAAAAAAAAGCTGAAGTCATGAATACACACACACACACACACACACACACACACACACACACACACACTCACAGAGGTGGTTATACAATCAGGCATTCCAGATTTACCCAAGAGAAAATGTTCTGGTGCCAGAAGCTGTTTCATGAATGCCTAGGCTATGATTTAGATGGAATTCCCCTGGATGCAAAAACATGCCCTGGTTTAATTCTTGAATCAAGTGGATTTATTCCTTGTGAAGACCTCCCTAGCTCTGAGTCTTTTAGTGGCTGGCTTTGTTTCACAGTCTGAAAACAGGAAGTACCCAGGAAAGAAAAGATTAGTGCTTATTGCCAAATCTGTACAGCATTAGCTAAGTGGCCAACACTTTTTTTTTAAATCATTCTTTGTCAAATACTAAATTCAGTAATTTTTAGAAGGTGGTAGGTTCGTCAGATTCAGCAATAATATCTTATTTGCTTTGTCGTTCCCAGTAATAACCACATTATCCAATTGCATAGAATAGATCATTCAATAAGTTAATTGAATTCTAACTATAAAATGATTTTGGTTGGAATGATTTTCCCCTAGACTTTGAGCTAGATACTACTGTTTTTGAAAAATAAAAACACCTCTTATTGTGGAAAATCCTGAAGCTTGGTTCTTGTTACTTTCTTTATTTCATTCCTTTAAGCTGCTTGTCACATCACTTTGTGATTTCTCTGTGAATATATTAAAGTTCACTGAATAATAATTACAAAAACTAATAAATATAGGATTGAGGCTTATTTTAATTAGCTTGGTGAAAAAAACGCTTTGAGTTAACTGGCTACGAAGGTTTCTTCGTTTTCTTTGATTTCAACATATTTCCTTGGAAATGAAGAGCAGAACTGTTGTTGAATTCACAACAAGAACAAACAAACATAACCTACAACTTCTGAGCAAATGCTGTGTTCAGCAGGTTTTCAAATGAACACTTTTTGTTTGATCATATCTGTTAACTAGCTATATTTCTTAATCTTCATAAATGCTATTGCTTAATTACTTTAACTCCTTTTAATCATCTGTTAAATCAGTAGGTCTACATTTCCCGGTTAAATTGCGCCCTCTCGTGTTCATCAACTGAGATACACAGGTCCAAGCTTACAATTGCATTTAGGTGTGAAGGAAGACCTTGGTCCTAGAGCAGAGTCATACGGAGTATTTCTAAAAGAGTTGAGCAAATTTTACCTTTAAATGAAAACTTTTAAGCTAAAACAGTTCTGTAATTAAGGAAGACGAAATTCCCTTTGGGAATCTACAAAACAAGTAGGATAATTACCTCCCTCCACTGCTCACAGCTTCGCCTCCTCTCTGATAAGTTACTAGAATGTTACAAGAAAAAAATAATTAATAGAATGTTACAAGAAAAAATAATTAATAGACATGTTTATATTTATTAGAATAAATTATTACATACACAGCAACTTTTTCAAAATAGAATGCTTTCTCTTTTTCTATAAAAATCATGACATAAATCATTACAGGAAATGTCAGATTTCTAATTCCGCTTGTATTTTTTGTTTGTATATAGAATTAAATAAAAATAACTTATTGTTCAAGTGTGTTAAACAAGGTTGAGAATTTAACCAAAGAAAAACTCTAGTATTCTCTTCTTCAATGTAATTATTACACATTTGCACATCAGTCATCCAATTTTGAATTTATTACCAGATCGGATCATTTATTTTATACATGAAATCTTAAATTTGGTGGGGAAAGAACCCACTCAGACTATTTTCCCAGAATTTTGATGACCAGTAAGACAAATAGGAATATTATAATAAGGCCTCTCTTTTCCACACTGAACAACATATGCCAAGTTTTGACTATTAATGTGACTTTTTTTTAAAGTGTCTTATAAAAATGATTTTCTCATATTTTCCTCAGAGCTTTTCATGGAGCACAAATGTATTTTCATGCTCTTGAAGGCCTTCTCAGCTTAAACTTAGAGTGTAAAAAATTACAGCCATAACAAATAAAGATTTGCACATAGTTAGGCAAAGAGTTAAGCAGATTAGCTTTTCTGTAAATACAGACACATTTTCTGAGAAGAAATGTGTTTCCAAAAGCTGCCAAATTCTGCTACTTAGAAGAACTCGAAACTGGGAGTCTGCTGAGGAGAGATAACTGCTTCCACTGATTACAATAACTGGATTAACACCGAGGAGGCACCAGCTCAGGTACCACTTTGACTGGAGGTGATGTGAAAGAAGACCCACTTGGAACAAAACCGAATAGACCGGAATTTTACAATCCTGACTAGGGGGAAATGGAAAGTTTTATCTCTCCCTGTGCTTGGATGTTTTGGTTACCTTTAGGAATGCTGACATGATGGATAGAAAATTGCAAGGGAGGGAATTTTTGGTTGTTGCGAACTAAAGCTTAAGTTAACAGAAACAAATGCACCGCCAAGTATGAAATAATCAATGAGATGATTAGCATGTTAAATCATGCTGAGGGGAGAGACAGTGTGTCTATCTAATGAAACACATGCAAACAAGCCTAGGATGCAGTACGGAGTCATGAATAAATAACTACTTGGAATGGATGAAAAGCAACACCAGTCATTTTGACTTCAAATGCATGCCTGACATGAGTAAATCAAGTATTGTGTTCCATTTTTAAGTCCCTTCCTCTAACTGCAAAAATATTAAATAAAAATAAAAACACCACAATACAACACATGCCAAACTAACAAAGGAAGGAAGGAGGGTAAGTGCAAATATATACCTGTTGGTGTGAAGGTAAAAGACGGGACTGAAAAATCAAAACAAAATATAAACCAGTTATTAAGCTGAAGAGAGAAAGGGAACATATCACATTAGTATAAATCAAGCAGACAGCTGAACATAAAACAAATGTAAATAACTAAGCCCGCAGTTCTGACACTCTGATTTATGAATAAAACCAAATTGAGGTTAGAAAAAGAAGCTTGTCTCTACAGGTACCATTTTGAAGTGTCTGACAGTCTAGTTTGGAAAGGAATTGCTCTGGGTTAGCCTGGGAATGACCCTGCATTTAGCAACAGAGATTTTGCTCAGGCTTTAGTACAAACAGGAATCCTCTGCTATTAATCATTTCCAAACACTGGATGATGGATTCTTAAACAAGTATTATCAGGGTCTTGCTTGAACCTTATCTGGAGATCTGAAAGTAAATGCTTATTAATGTGGACTAATAGTACACTTAAGTATTTGTCACAGAGAGAGAGAGTGAGAGAGAGAGAGAGGGAGAGAGAGACAGACAGACAGACCACATAAAGAATGAAAGAAAGAGTCCTAACTAGAACAAAAAAAAAATGTCAATTGGACTGTTTTGTTTTGCTACAAGAAATACCTTATACCCGGACATGTAAATAGTACGATGCTACAATTTTTCTTACCATAAAAATTTGTGATTGGATAGGGAATTTGAGGGTTTTAAATTTTAATTTCCTTCATACGACGTAAATTTAGAAGTTTTCTAGGAGTGGATGGAGCTTTATTTATTTTTTTAATACCATGCTGGTAATTACAGAATAGTACAATAAAGCCCCTCTCTGCAATTCTAAATCTTAATGCAGTTAACAAAGGTCTGAAAAAGGAGCTACAGGCCTCAAAAAGGGTCAGTTTCCCCTTCTCTTTCCCTATCTTCTTCCATTCCTGGGTGTGGCATCTCAGCAGAACTATCCCCGTGGAATTCTATAAATTGGGGAGGCTGACTTATTTCCCCAGCTCTTCAGAATAATTCATGATAACAAAAGCCAGGGAATCTACGTTATTCCCTTGAAGACTGAAGTCAGCTCTCAAGACATCCTTGATTCACACAAACAAGAGTATTGAGGATTTATTGTGGATCAAAAGGCTACCCCCGCATGCAGGCTGCCCTTCACATTGGCTTGTCCTGAAGACATTTACTTGAGGGATAGAGCTTACGGGTTGCAATTGGAACGCGACCCTTACAATGGTCACTCCTCATCATCCCACTGTACTTCTGAGTTAGGACAAGAACAGAAGTCCAGACCTCAATGTCACACCCAGAAATTCTCATCCGGTCTTTGCAGCACAACAGTCTTTGCCTTAAGCATGCTATTCTGATTTCTTTCAGCCAAGACTTTTCAGAGAGTCAAAGTAATTTAGCTCCAATCAAAAATTCAGAGCCACAGTAACAAGTCTTCATGAAAAAAAAAGAAAAAGAAAAAGAAAAATCCATTTAGCAGTAAAGCTATTCAAACCAGAATGGAGAGCCTGAACATTAATTTGCAATTACAAGGACATAGTGAAAATATGAAAAGCCCCATCACTGCTTCTAGCTATCTGGTAACTCCAGTGTGAAGAATAGAAGATGAGATGAAAAGAAGTTGGGTGAAATGAAATTCTTATGGCTCACCCACCCAAGAATAGGACTTTATCCTCAAAGCTTGCAGAAACATAGCCAACCCCAGTTACTCAGTGATGCTAGGGCATTATGAGAATGTGAATACGTCGAAACGTGCACTGCTGCCTTTTCTGGTAGAGGCTGTTCCAATACCAACAGTTAAACATAGGGGAGAAATATATATATATATATATGTATATATATATATACATATATATATACATATATATATATATTTTTTAAGATGTTCACTATTCCCCTACATCACACTTCTGTTTGGTGGCTTGAGGTTAATAGTCTCTTTTCACCTTATTTCTTTAAAATCTCTCTCTCCCTCTTCTAATTATCAGGAATAGTTTTTGCCCAAGACATTTTATGATTTCAGAATGCATTTCCCCCCCTAATTGCATAGAAACAGAATTATATATATATATATATAAAAGTGCCAACCAGGCAAAGTGAGGAAAGCAGAATCAAATGCTCACCAATTACATTTGTAATTATGTTCTATGATTTCTGCTTAAACACAGGCTAGTTAAAAGAACAATGATATTAGTTTAATAGATGTTTCAGAAAGTGCACATAAGGCATCTGCCAGCATGCTTAAAGTCCATTAGTAGAAGAAAAGAAACATTTCAGAAAGGAGAAGGCTTTCACATCACTTATTTAGAATTCAGAACAATATCTAAAGAATTAAATCATTCTAACTACACAGCTACAGCATTTCATCACAGCAAGAAATATAGGTTTCCTGGAGAACTCTAGAGATTCTACATCTATATGCTAATTAGTTTATTTTTTCCTCATTTCACATCAGATTTCAAAACACAATCCCCCCCTCCCCCAACCTTGCCCTCTCTCTGGTCACCCCCTCCCCACACATCCACAGGCCCCTCCTCTGAGAAGACTCTTTTTAGTAACTCATGCCTGGCATTGTTCTATTTCATATAAACATAAGGAATGCTGGGCATTTTGTGGGTGCCTTCAAGCCCTCATTTTCATTTCATAGGCAGGGGCATTGACATCTTGCTTCATCTCTAGATAGGACTCAGAGCTGAAGAAAACATATTCAACAGTGATAATGTGAAGGCAGGCTGGAGCAATAGCGTAGCAGGTAGGGCATTCGCCTTGCACGTGGCTGACCTGGCCGACCCCAGTTTGTAGAGCCCGGCAAGCTAAGGAGACTATCTTGCCTGCATGGCAAAGCCTGGCAAGTTACCCATGATGTACTGGATATGCTAAACACAGTAACAACGAGTCTCACAATGGAGACGTTACTGGGCCCGCTCAAGCAAATTGATGAACAACAGGAGAACAGTGCTACAGTGCTACAATGTGAAGGCAAATGTATGTACATGAAGAGACCGCTATGGAGTCACAAGTCGGTAACACACTGATTTATCTTCCCAGTGTGGATGATTATTTCCTGTTGACTCTTTCTTGCCAGGACCACTTGTGGCCAAGGGCACAGCTATTTTTAGATTGCTGCCCCAGGCTGGTTTGTAAGGACCTGACTAGGGACATTCAAAACATTTCATTAAAAAAAAAGTTATCAGCTAGCACTATAAAATCTAATGTTGGGGCTGGAGCGATAGCACAGCGGGTAGGGCCTTGCACATGGCTGACCCAGGTTCAATTCCCAGCATCCCATATGGTCCCCCTGAGCACCGCCAGGAGTGATTCCTGAATGCAGAGTCAGGAGTAATCTGTGCATTGCCAGGTAGCACTGTAGCACTGTCCTCCCATTGTTCATCGATTTGCTCGAGCAGGCTCAGTAACTTCTCCATTGTGAGACTTCGTTGTAAATGTGTTTGACATATCGAATACATCACGGGTAGCTTGCCAGGCTTTGCCGTGCGGGTGAGATACTCTCAGTAGCTTGCCAGGCTGTGCATTGCCGGTTATGATCCAAAACTAAAAAAAAACCCTAATGTTTCTGTCTAATGGATCAAGAAATGACTTGGTCAGAAAATAAAGGAAACGTTCACTCTGAAAATATGGAGACAACAAAAAAATTAACAAGGTGGTGATGGTGGTAAAGGACCTGTTGAATGGTAATTCTCTTTAAATTTGCTTTAAGTCACTGCCAAAGATGTGTTAGATTATAGGTCCATGCAAGTATAGGACAAGAACTAGGGAGAATATATGTGTCATCCAAATTAGGATGACTTTGAAAGTAAAAGGTACACTTTCAATAAACTAGAACTGTACTCTACAAACTTTGGGTCATCCTGTCTGAACTCTGAATCTGAGGCTGAAAACTGAGTTCATTTGTTAGGGAGAGGAGATGTCGATATCTGACTTACAGAATTAACAATCCCATCAGAGAACGAAAGTCAAAACCTTGGGTTTATCATTTCTGGGATCAAAGAACCAAAAACTTTCTTTTAAACTTAGAGAGCAAAGAACTTAACAGCCCCAAATGAGCAAATGAAGTGATGCAGACCTGGACCCACCAGGGTGAATCTTATTTTAAAGACTCTTGTCTGGAAAAGGAGATTTGCTATTCGTCACACTGTGCTGTTACCAAAGTAAAACGTCTCTGCAGCTACCACAATCGAATAATACAATTTTTTAAAAAATCTTTCTGTATTAGAATCCCATCAGAGGACCTACATAATCATGAGCAAACTGGAATCTCAAAGTTCTATAGACATAATTAAGTATGAGAAGCGTTGGCAACTTACTACCTTTTCTGATGCCCGCGTAAGTGCTAGTCAACCCATTTCTCTTCTTCCGGTGTCGATAGAGCCAGATGCTGAAGACCATAAGGATAATCCAGCAGGCTGCCCCAATTCCTGCTATGAACGCAGGCTGCTTCACCACGTCAGAGATCTGCTGAGCAAGGCTGACCTGGTCTTCAGGGGATACAGGGTTCCCGTGCGAATCTGAAAAGGCAGCTTCAGATTATCATCCAGTTGGAATCAGATGGAATTATAAACACATGACGACAGAGTAAAATAAGGCGGGGGGCATGAGTTCGGTTAAGTAGGGGGCCATGGTTTCTCATTTTTTATTCTGGAACACCGACGAGAGTTCATTAAAACATTGGCGGTTTAACAACATTATGATGATTTAAATTAGTTTAAATATGAAATAAAGGCAATGTAATGATTGCTGGCAGGGGTTATGGTTTCCAACAAAGGCCATGGCACAAAATTTCTATTCTGAGTGCAGAAAAATCTGCAGCTCAGCATGTCGGTAGGATGCCACTACCCAGGAAAGCCAGGAGGAAGCTTGACAGTGTAACACTTGTCTTGAATGTATGAATCACTTTCTATTAACACCTACACACACACACACACACACACACACACAACCACAACCACACGAACACACACATGCCACACAGAACATTCACCAACTTTGGGCTGTGTATACAATTTAAAGGGTAGAAATGCAGACTTGGCCTCAGGAGCCCCAAGATCAACACCTAGCGACATTTGTTATCATATCAGAGAGGTTCCTGCACAAAAAAAGTAGCACTGTAGCACTGTCCTCCCGTTGTTCATCGATTTGCTCGAGCGGGCACCAGTAATGTCTCACAACACATTGTGAGACTTGTTGTTACTGTTTTTGGCATATCGAATGTGTCACGGGTAGCTTGCCAGGCTTTACCGTGTGGGCGGGATCTCTGAGAGGGATGGAGGAATTGAACCCGGGTGCAAGGCAAACACCCTACCCGCTGTGCTATTGCTCCAGCCCCCACAAAAAAGTAAATTAATTAAAACAAGTATCTCGGGATGTGGATGCCGAAGTAGAAATAGATTTGCTTGAGTGGGCATAACGTCTCCATTGTGAGACTTGTTGTTACTGTTTTTGGAATACACCACGGGGAGTTTGCCAGGCTCTGCTGTGTGGGTGGGATACTCTCGGGATCTCTGAGAGGGATGGAGGAATTGAACCCAGGTCAGCTGCGTGCAAGGCAAACGCCTTACCCCCTGGGCTATTGCTCCAGCCTAGAAACAGATTTAGAACTATAAAATATTACATATAATATTGTATTATTTTTCAAATTATTTTGAGTTACACCCTGCTGCTCTTAGGCTTGACTCCTGACTCTGTGCCCAGGGATCACTGCTAGTGAGGCTCAGGGGACCATATTGGGGGCTGGGATCTAGCAAGGCTGGCCAAGGCAGGTGTGTGACCTCCTGTGTTATTGCTTCAGTCCTGAAATATGGTATTTTAAGGCAAGCATACAAGAACAAGGATGCCAAATAAGTCTGTCAAGAAAAGACAGCAACTGTCTCAGATCTCTCTAGAAAACCTAAAGTTAATTAAAAAAGAAAGTATAAGAAAAGATTTTAAAAGGTAAGAGATTAATACTTAATTTTTTCTATATGGCAGCTCTTTGGGGGTGGGGGTGGAGCACCTAATGGTGTTAAGAATTACTCCTGGCTCTGTGCTCAGGGATATTTTCATGCCTGGCAATGCTTGGGGCAAATATATGATGGTGGGGATTTAAACCGTGGTCTGCTGCATGAAACGCAATTTTCTTAAACCTTGTACTATCTCCCCAGCCTCTATATAATAGCTCTTCTTAGATGTTTTGGGGGGCTAGAAAGAGTAAGGTGCTTGCCTTAGATGTGGCTGACCTGGGTTCAATCCCAGCCCCCTATATGGCCTCCAAGTACCACCCTAAGTGTAGAGCCTGGAATAAGTTCTGAGTATGGCCAAGCATGACCCAATAATTCACTCCCTCCAGCCCCCCCCCCCACAAAAACATTTTGTGTTTTCTTCTTTTTGCACAGACCATACTCTAACACTTCAAAACTGCCTTAGAAACACACTGTTTCAACCTATACTCAGCAGTTCTAAAAAATTCAAGATCATTAAAAAACCAATGAAAAATTATGATACTATTACCACTGAAAGAGCGATGAGTCATCTTTCTAAGTAATAATCGTGGCATACAATGGCCTTGTAATGACAGAAGAACATGAGATATGTACAAGAATTATCATATGTTATGAATAGGCAAAAGACGTGTTTTCAGTTAGCCATTTTTGATTCAAGAATTAAAAATTGATGATATGTGTGCCTAGTGAATCTATCTTTCTTTATATCTATGTTCAAAACCCACTAAAACACTCATTTTCCAAACCCACCATTCACCATTCCATCAGACAACACGGCTTGTTTTACAAGGTTGTGTAAGTCTAAAAGCTGTTGCTGTACCCCTGTGTAGGCGAGATCCTACACAGCAGCAGTGGCCCTGTGGATGATGAATGCCATCTCCCATTCTTTTTTTTTCTTTTTGGGTCACACCCAGCAATGCACAGTGGTTACTCCTGGCTCTGCACTCAGGAATTACTCTTGGCAGTACTCAAGGGACCATAAGAGATGCTGGAAATCAAACCCAGGTTGGCTGCATACAAGGCAAATGCCCTACCTGCTATACTATCACTCTAGCCCCGTGGGCCTCCCATTCTTCCCCCACACAAGATATGGTGCAACAAGAAGCTGTTTACCTAGTTTACCTGTCTTGTTTGGATTACTACGCTCTGAAAATTCTTAAATCACTGACTTCTGAAAATACCTGCCTACTTTAAAATTTTAAAAAAAAATTAATTTTAAATTAAAATTTTTTAAATTTTTAATTTAAAATTAAAAAAAGCTCAAACTTCTGTTTTCAGAAAAACTGGTATGACTCACGATATTTCTTAAATAAAAAAAGAATTATGTAGGTTATGATTTCTTATAAAGTCATAAGAAAGGATGGTCAGGAAATTTCATTGTTTAGTTTTTTTTTTCTTTTTGGGTCACACCTGGCATTGCTGGTTACTCCTGGTTACTCCTGGCACATGCACTTAGGAATTACTCCTGACGGTGCTCGGGGACCATATGGGATGTTAGGAATCGAACCCGGTTTGTCTGAGTGCAACACCCTACTCACTGTGTTATCAACCGAACACCTTATTGCTTAGTTTTACGCAATGATTATGGAGGGAAATAACGCCTTAGGGAAATGACATACTTTTCCATCAAAGGAGGGACAAGGTGCTGTGTGTTTATTTATTTACAAAATGCTAGATTCCATTCTTTGGAAGTTAAAGGTTAAAAAAAAAGAGACCAAAAAAAAAAAAACAAACCACAAAACCTTTTCACAGTCACCTGCCTTCCCCTGTTTGTTGACAAAAAAGTTCTATTTTATGTTCCAGACTCTTTTGTTTCTCCTAAGAACACTCCATCGTCTGAAACTTTACCCAGAAGACCCATTCTTTTTATTCCAAATACACCCTTTGTATCTGCTAGGGTTATCGATTTCATGGATATTTGTGCAAGGTTAAGTTGGGTAGCTTCAGATTTTATGGAGACAGCCAAGAGAGGTCCCAATGTAAGCAACCAGATGGGCTTAGAAGAATAAAGTGTGGTGTGACTAATGAATTAAAACGGCCACTCTCTATCTCAGTCTTTGTCTCACTGCAGCTGAGGCTATATTATAGCTGGAACACATAATTCCAAGAAAACCAATTTAACCCTAAATCCCGTTATTTAAATCTTAAGTAGGTAAAGTTACATATGACTCCTTTCCAACTCTTCTTCAAAAAAAGCAGGACTAAAAGTCATCTGGATAAAAACAGGTAAATGATAACAAGAAGTCTATAGGTTCATCATGATGAAACCTATCATTTCAATTTAAATAAATACTGGACAACTATTTGAGTCAAAATAGTCTCTATTGAGATGCTTTCCCTTCTTTCGTAGTGTTATAATAGATGGCCAGGCAATATTTACGAAAGGCTTTCTGTTTGGCTTGGAATTTTTCAAGAAATGAATAAGAAGTCATTTTTGCTCCAATGCTGTATGCGTGTATATAATCACTCCTTAAAAATGCGTTACATGGAAAAGATAACCCAAACATCTAAATTTGACTCAGGGCTCTAGAAGAGAGGACACATTATACAATGAAATCTGAATGGAATTCTCATTAGCTTGGAGTTGTTGGAAGTAACCTCAGAAGCCAGGGACTTTGCTGTGTGACATTTCTGTTCACCTATTTGGAGTCACATGTCTGAGTTTACACAGGAGGCAGTACACCACCACTGATGTGCTCCCTCACACTGATGTTCTTTTGTTCTACTACCCAGGGTCAATGTACCCTATGCTATACAGGGAAAGCCATTCAGCCAATCTGGGTTTTCTTCTATCCCAGAGTGAGGGACCTTTGGAGGACATACTGCATTCTATCACCAGAATTCTGCAAATGTGTCTATTAAAGCAGCTGGCATTTTCTAAATAATGGAACATCAAAAACTGCTTCCAAGTTGAATGCAAAGTATGTTATTATGTACAGTAACAGTTTATGCAAAGCCAAATGTTTCTTTGTTTTGTTTAGAAATAATTTCTAGGATGTCATCAACATTGTCAACATGCAAAAACACTCCCCACTTCTCTGTGAAATCTGAAGATTCATATATGTGATCCTTTCCCATTGCTAGAATAATGCTGACATACAAACTGTTGATGCTTTACATCCAGAACTGAGATCTGAACTCACACAGTTGGCTTTGTAACTCTCAGCATTTTCATAATTTAAGTGTGACCTGATGGTATAGGGTTTTTTTCTCCTCAACCTTCATCACCAATGATATTTTATTGCTGTGCTGGCTGATGTTTGTTTTTGATTTGACTAATATCCATATTTATGTTTTACTCATATCACACTGGTTTTAGTTAGAAATATTACTTCTGCAATCCCAGGCCCAAGGGTTGTCATTGATACTGTTTAATCCCTAAACACTTTGGAAGCACACATTGCATTCGATGTTTTAAGAATCACATATATCTATATTATGGTCTGGAGTAATAGCACAGCAGTAGGGCGTTTGCCTTATGCGAAGCCAGCCTGGCCGAGCCAGGTTCAATTCCTCCACTCCTCTCGGAGAGCCTGGCAAGCTACCGAGAGTATTCAATATGCCAAACACAGTAACAAGAAGTCTCACAATGGAGATGTTACTGGGCCCGCTCGAGCAAATTGATGAACAATGGGAGGACAGTGGTCTTTTATACATCCTCCTCTATCAATTGCTATAAAAATTAATAACACATTTTTGGTCCAAGTAATAGCACAGCATATAGGACACTTGACTTGCACAGGGCCACTTCAGGCTCCATCTCTGTACCATGGACAGTCTTTGAGCCTCACAAGGTATGGTGCCTTGTCATAGAGTGAGGAGTAAGCTCTGAACCCTGCCGGGTGTGACCCCCAAATCAAACAAATAAAAATATCAATTATGCTTTTAAATACACATAACATGATAAATAGCAATTGCAAATTGCTTTTAAATTAAATATAATTTATGCAATTTATATTTAATGTCTAATATCTAATTTATTTTGTATTAAAGTTTGCTTTTATTTGCAAAATAAAAGATATAATTGGTGTCTTGGCTATTCCATGGAGTATCTTTGGTACTCAATTACTATTTTTTGAATGTAAAAGAGGGAAATCAATAGAACACATTAGGGATAATAATAAATAATTGAATAATTGTTAGTTTTCCCATATGTGAATACAAGACTTTATATAAATATATGACTATATAAACTACACATGATAAATAGATGACTAGGTAAACTACACATAATATATGACAGTACACACTATAATCTAGAAACAGTATATGGTTACTTATCTATGTGTATGTAAATGTAATATATGTAATATATAAATCATATTATAATGCATGTGTCTGTGTCTATAAAACTAACACCATCATCTCTGCAGTCCTATTGGGCCAGTCCACATTCCACTCAACTCACAACAACAGTTCCTCAACAGAGCACAAAAGAAACACAAGCAGTACAGACAGAGATGCAGTTCCACAGCAAACCCAGGCTGGCGCTCACCTAGTTGGATGAACTGTGGTTCACTCTTCACTCCTGGTCCGGCCCCAGTGCTGGCTGCCACCTCCACGCTATATCTGATCCCAGGCACCAGAGACGGGATAACCACAGAGAAGGTGGAACCATCAACTGTCTTGTTTATGTGGTATCGGGTTTCATTGCCCAGACACCAAACCTGTAAGAACACACAAGGGATGTTAAACTTGGAAATTATTCTACTCCATGCAAAAATCAACACAGTACCAGTTTAGACCTAAAAACGTTTGGCACTGTGATAAACCTTATTGTGTTAGTTTCAACAGTCATTTTTTTTTCTTTCCTCCCTCAGATCTAGCTTGGGGAAGACTCATTCACAACTCACTTGCATAGCACCTGAAAGGTCTCTTTAAGTTTTCTCATTTACTTTGAAAGGATTATAGCAGATAGGTCTATAATTGTTTTTGTGCTTGAAGACATTGGTTCCTATCCTATTATTAGGTAGACCTTTAGAAACAGGCTAATTATTTGGCAGGGGGAATAGAAGTCTTGGCGAAAAAAAATCTGTGATGTTACATAAAGAACAATAACATCATTCAGGATTTACATTACTACTATGATGAATCGTGATACCAGATGATACCAGGAATCACAGAACAAAGGTAAATCGAAAAACCCCACTCAAACCCACCCTGAACTTCCACACCTTATAGACTCAACCACTCTCATATCAAAACCTGTATGCAGTTTACTTAGAGAGAGGGCATTTCTGAATAATCTCAAGTGCCTTTGCATCAACATAGTCATTAAAAATAAAACAAGGTGCAGGAATCATCTCAGGATTTTGTTCCATCTACAGTATGTCAAACTGCTACCAAAGAAAGAAAACAGGTTTCCTGACCTCATATGAAATAGGAGTATTAACTTTGATAACATACATGGAATTATGCTGAATAAAAAGACACATTTAGGGTACTGGAGTGATAGTACAGAGGGTCGGAGATTTGCCTTGCGTATGGCTGACCTAGGTTCCATCCCCAGCACCCTATACGGTCCCCTGAGTACACCAGGAGTGATCCCTGAGCACAGAGCCAGGAGTAAGCCCTGAACACTGCCTGCTGTGGCCCCCAAACCCAAACAAACAAAACCCGACCCCCAGACCCCCAAACCCCACATTATTTAATTTGGAACAAAAATATTCTACTAAGAAGGAAATTATCATCTAACTTCTTAACTTAGATAATGAGACTTGTGACAGGAAATCTATGTTTTAGAACTATACTATAATGCTTATTCTAAATTTGGGCAAGGGGTTACTTCATTATAAAATGATCTTTTACAATTTTCAACAATTTGAATATGGTGTGACAGTTTTGGACCCAGTTTCCATATAAAAATGAAACGTGGAGTAATCAACCATGTTCTGTATTACTTAGGATACCCTTAAGCAACATACGATTAGCTTCAAGGAGGTGATTATCTAAATTATAATGGGAAATGGGACTTAAAATATATCTAAGAATATCAGTATCTTCTTGCAAGTGGTCTATAATCTATTTTTTTTACTTGAAAGTTGATATCATTTTAATCTAGTTTCCACTGATAACAACAGTAAACCGTCAGACTCTATACCAGGATCTGACCATTTGGAAATAAAAGGGTCCTGATGGTCTCCCAACCCCCACCCCAAATGCATTATGCAGCTGAACCAGAGCCACAACTGATTTTGTACCAGTCAATCAGGTTCTGAAAAGCATTTTATTATTTTAAATTGACCATGAAGTTAAGTGAAATCCACCCTTTTGCATTTCTTCAGGAGAGAACGGATTTTGACTCTTAGAAGTGTTTCTGTGACATGCTTTTTCTTCGGAGCTGTGGCATTACCTTATTTAAAATCTTTTTAAAAATCTCAAGAATAGTTTATTTTTCCAGAATTAGAGCATACTCTTAACCGCCAGGATTGAAATAACCTAAAAAAGTTCATAAGAAAGCAATGCAAAGTGGGCAACCTCTTAACTCTGAATGACTTGCATGGAGTAGAAGATGCCATATTAAATAACTTAAAACAACCCTAGTGTGCTTTCTGCAACATGTTCAATACTCAAATTCATGTGGCCTCTTTAAAGTGTCAAGCAGTTCATAAACCGGTGATTATTTTGATTTCTTAATAAAATACTATGCCTAAAATTATGCTTCATTATATTATGCTCTATCAAGTTATTGGTTGAATCTATTTGTCATCCAACCGAACATTTAACAGTCTTATTTGGTCTCTAACCAAAAACTTGGAGAGATGCACCAAAATGTATCTGCAAGAACCTTTCTCAATCCTACTGAATCTGAATTTCTGATGCCAGGCTTGTATATTGGGAAAACGCTCTCGCAAATAATGCTGATACTGACATGTAATTAAAAATCACTAACCTACATCAGAGGAAATAAATGTATTTACCTTTGAACATCAGCTTCATGCCAATGGGCATAGTCTATAGAGAATATGATATACTAAAAGCATCATAATTAAGACAGCAACACTTAAGAGTTATAGAATACAGTGTAATATCTAGAAAAATGTTTTTCAGATAAAATCTTGCCACTATGCAGTATGCTTAAATGTACTGAACAGTATACATATAAAATATTTTCTATTGAAATCTGCTTGATTCAATATTAAAAAATATCTATGTTTTATCATTAAGATTTTCCAATACATATTTATATGTATGTAATGTTCCTAACCTTTTGTTGAACCTTTTTATGCCTAAAATGTCTGCTCAAAATACATTTACTTCAGATTCTCTAGATTAACCGAATACAGATGATTTCACAGGTAAAAAAATAATTATTTGAAAAAATCCAATCATATAATATAAAATTTAACCTTAAATATTCTTTATATACTAAATATTTTAAATCCATTAAAACCACAGAAATTTATATCTGAATTTCCTCTAAGACTTGATATTTTGTTCAGAGAATTAAATATCATTTATGGAGAGGAAACTGATTTTCATGCACACTCACATGATGTCACAACTTTGTTCCAAAATTCTAACATTTCAAGCATGTATGAAAATAAAAAAAGTATATTTGAGAGAACATAACTCAGTCAATTTCACTGGGCAATCCAATTCTACAAAATGTATTTCAGGAATATTTCAGGGCAAAAAAGGGATTTAAAATATCCGCTACACTGTGCCTCTATGCAACTAGATAGAAATATGTTTTGACACCATGTGTACTAAGTCTTCTAAATAATTTATTCTCATTGGGTTCCAACAAAAATAATTATTCCATAGTCAATGAATAAACAGAAAAACTTTTGAAGAAATAATTTTACATACTGCTAGTTTATCCAGCAGATGGCGCCAAAGATCCAAGAATAATTTAACCGCACACATGATTTTGTGGGGGACAGTAGTCAGCACATTAGTGTATGAGTTACCTTATACTCTTGCACCATTCCATTTTGAGTGTCTTCTGGAGGTGGTTGCCAGCTAACAAGAATTGCAGTTCCATTGCCATCATTCTTTGACACAGTTACACTTTGGGGTGGGGCACTCGGTGCTATTAAATTATTTTAAAAAGTAGATTATTATGATTTATTAGAGAACACTGAAAGCATAACTTGATATTTACAGGAAAACTAAATGGATTTTATAAAAAACATGCATATTTTAAAAAAATATTTCTCATCACATGGGGCAAATATTCACCTCCCATTAAGTTTGCATCATTCTTGCCAATTCATTGTGAATTTTCCCATAAGCCAAGTTACATACATGATCTAACAAACATCCCCAAGATATTCTTATTTCTCTTAGCCTGTAACACTACTCTCACATACATCCTAAAAAAGTTTAAAAGTATGAAGATTAATGCAAAATATTCATTATATTACTATATCATTTTTATTTATATAATTGATGTGATAAAACAGGAAATTCTGGTTATGTTTAGAAATATACTTGTAACATGTCATCTATTATTCTTATATATGGAACAATCTTAAATATTTTTATTTATACAGTAGTCATGCACTCTGGTTTGTCTGTAACTGAGCAGTTTCTAAGGCACAAATACAAAGTCATGCATTCAGAAAGTTTGGGCCTACTCAATATATTATTCACTTATTTACAAATCAATACCTGCAATAATGGACAAGTGGAATAAAAATAATTAACAGATGGGATAAAAGCTGAGATAAATTTTATCAGAAGAAATGAAATTTAGTTCTGAATACTTAAATATATTCTGCATATATCATTAACACAATGTTCACATTTGAATATTTTTATGTAGACCACTTCTAATCAGCTGTTATTTTGTAATTCTAAATTAAAGAATTCTGTTAGCATAACATACTTAGCATAAAGAGAGTGAAAGTTAATACTACTATTAACATTTTTAACGTTTTTAACCAAGATAACATAAGTTATCTAACAATTATACAGTAATTCACAGAAATCACGCATTTAAACTGTACTTGCCTTCTTCTAGGGTTTTGGCAAACTTAATTTCACTATCTGCTCCTTGAAATTCATTGAAAAAGGGGCGAGCCTTAATTTCATAGTTGACTCCTTTTTTGAGATCAGGGATAACCACGCTATTTTTGGTTGGGGTCCTCACTTCAAACACTAACCACTCCGATTCACCATGGTGGGCACCAGACGGTCGATATAGGATTTTATAACCTTGAATATACTGAGATTGTTGGTCCACCTATTACAATGATAAAACACAATCATTCATTACATTTCTTTCCAAAAAGTATGGAATAAAATGTGACAAGATGCAAAAAAATCCCATTTGGTCTCACCCCACATTTTTCTAGTTCATATAAAATAGCATAGTTAAAAAATTATTATTATTGGCGAGGTATCCAACATTCAGCTTAATCTATGAGTTAGAAAAAAATTCCTATTCTCCATGCAGAAATGTGAGGCATCAGATCATCGAGTAAAAGCTGCCCAGAACTGTGTCCAGGTCAAAGCAATGTACAAATTAAATGTGGTTTCACTTTATGGCTTAAAAAACTTAGATAATGTTACTTAAAAATATTTCCAAGTTTGAAAAACACTCTCAGGATGGTGATCCACATAATTAATACTCTATGCTGCTTTCTATTAAAGCTCCTTGTTTATTACTGCAGCACAATAAAATATACTGTGATAAATGTAGATGCAAATAAAAATTTCCTCTATTTATGCCATTTATTCCACATCTACCATAATTAAAAAAAAACACAGCTCCCACTGGTAAAAAAGGCAACGGATAACAGGCATACACATAAAGAAATATATACACACACATATATACATATACATATATAAGGTCTCAAAAATCACAGGCTTATTAAGACGAGATTCAATACTGGGCAACAAAGACTCACTGTCCAGTGGACTTCGATGGAGGAAGATGAGAGGATGGTGGGGTTGTGGAGGTGAAGCACGACATTTCCCAGTTCTCTCTGGACCTGTTTGTGATCCACCCCCTGACTCGTCGGGGGAACATCTGCAACGATTCAAGGCAACTATGTCAGGTCAGATCCTACACAGTGTTACTGACTTGGATGAAAGCGGGGTGAAACAATCCTCTCATTCATAGCAACTCTCAGAAAGGAAGAAGCCTTTCAGCCGAGAAGTCAACCTGTAGCACCGGGTACATTAGGAACAACTCCTAAAATCTTTTTGAAGAGAGGAAAGAGAGGAGTGCAGAGAAATGGGGGTAGAGAGAGAGAGAGGGGAGAGGAAGAGGGAAAGGGAGAGGGGGAGAGAGAGAGAAAGAGAGAAAGAGAGGGAGGGTGGAAGGGAAGGAAGGAGGGAGAGAGAGAGGAGAGAGGAAGAGAGAGGGAGAGAGAGGAAAGAGAGAGGAAGAAAGAGGGAGAGAGAGGAAAGAGATGAGGAAAGAAAGAGGAGAGAGGAGAGAATAAGAGAGAGGAGAGAGGGAGAGAGAGAGGGAGAGAGAGAAAGAGGAGAAAGGAGAGAGAGACTAAGAGAGGAAGAGAGAGAGAGAGGGAGAGAGAGAGAAAAGAGATTAAGAAAAGCAACATCGACTATAAACATGCACGGTAATCGGAGCAGAAGCAAACAGCATGAGAACCAGCATCTGAAGGGCCCCTTCCATTGAGCTTTCTTGCGGAGGCTGAAAGCAATCCCCTCTGAATTTGTTTCAGCCTTTTGCAGAGATCCTTCCTATGTAGGAAGGGTCAGAAATTGTAGCAGAGAGGATGGGCCTTCAAAAGAACAGCGGTGTGATTGGTGAAAACGCAAGCACTGAAAAATAGTAGGAAGCCGTCTATTAGTAGGTACCCGAGAGAGAGGGAGAGAGAGAGAGAGGAAAGAGAAAGGAAGAAAGAGGGAGAGAGAGGAGGGAGGAGAGAGAGGAAGAGAGAGGAGAGAGAAGGAGAGAGAGACAGAGGAGAGAGAGACTAATGGGGTAAGATGGGGTGATGCCAAAACTACCAGGCAAAAGGGAAAATGATTGGAAGGGGAGGGAATGGGAGAGGAGAGGAAAGAGGGGGAAAAAAACGGATGAGAAAAGATCACTTAACTTCTATTAAATTGATGAAGACTTGGTTCGGCTTGGTCTAGCTCCTGTGTGGAGATCTTGATCTCGAGTCCACCCTCATTTTAGAGACCCGGGGCCGAGTGAGTAATACTGATTTCCCCACCATCAGAGTATCGCTCTGCTAAACCAAGGATTCCTAAACTGCCTCTAAAGAAACAGGCTTTGTTTTATTTTCCACAGAAAATAAGATGGAACCCAGGGCGAAGAAATCATGTAAGAGAAGGATTGTCCTGGAGGGCAGAGATGCTCTGCGCAGCGGGACCCGAAGGTTTTAAGACTTTGGAATGTCTAAATATCTTAAACGATTAATAGGGAAGAGGGAGCAAAGCCTGAACATTCAAAGGAACCTGGAATAAAGCCGCCTGGGGAGGCAGCGACACAGGAGCTGACGGCTGAAGATTGTTCAACACGCAGACATAATAATCCCCATGACTGCGTCTCTAGACTCAAGTCTGTAAGGTAAACTCGGGAGTGAAGCTTCACCATGAGCAAAATGATGAAAACAACAGAGATCACTCTAGCTTCTCCAACTACATTTTACCTTTCAAATGTCACTAGCAACGTATGGCCCCCAGGCTCCTTACTACCATGGCGTGTAGGCACTAGGGGCCCTCCACCCTCTCCTGTCAAAGTCTCAGGCTTCCTGCCTCTGGGTCTGATTTGATCCCTAACTTCAACTACCCTCTGGCTCTTGGGGCAGCCTGAGGTCTGTGGAACTGCATCTGCAACCCTGGTCAGGACCTTAACCATGTGATGCTGTGGACAATTCTTTTTTCTTTTTTCTTTTTTTGCTTTTTGGGTCACATCTGGCGATGCACAGGGGTTACTTCTGGCTTTGCACTCAGGAATTACTCCTGGCAGTGCTCAGGGGACCATGTGGGATGCTGATAATCGAACCCAGGCCGGCCACATGCAAGGCAAATGCCCTACCCACTGTGCTATTGCTCCAGCCCCCTGTGGACGATTCTTAAGCTCTGCTTCCTCGGTGGTCAGATGGCCGTGTCCATGGCAGCTGCCTCTGGGACAGCTAAAGGCAGTGCATTTTGTAAGGCAAGCAAAACCTTTTATGCCCAAGGCAGGGATAAGGTGAAGCTCAGCAGGCCCAGCAGATGTAGTGCAGTGGCAGCTACACAATAGGAGCTTCATAAACCTTGGCTGAATTCAATGAATCGGTGTAGGAAAAATACAGACCCTGTTGGCATCTAAATATGCTCACTCCCAGGGAAGCTCCGACCTGAGGTAATCTCCCAGCTATCCTATCTTCAAACACATTGAAGCAGTTTAGGTTTGCTGTTGTTGTGTTTTGCTTTATTTTGGGTCCGTACCTGGCAGTACTCAGGGCTTACTTCTGACTCTCTGATTACTCCTGGTGGGCTCAGGGGACCATATAGGGTGCTAGGAATATAACCTAGATCAGTCACATGTGAGGCAATCACCTCACCTGCTATATTGCTGTATTTTAGAAGGTGATGACTATGATCTTCCTTCCTTCCTTCCTTCCTTCCTTCCTTCCTTCCTTCCTTCCTTCCTTCCTTCCTTCCTTCCTCCCTCCCTCCCTTTCATTTTAAAGCAATTTTTTTTTTGAATACAGCCAGTAGATCTCAGGGGCTACTCATGCCTGGTCACTGGTAGGCTGCTCCCATAGGTTCTAGGGAGGTCACTCACTGACAGGGATCAAACCTGGGTCTCCTGAGTGTGAAGCACGCACCTGAGCCTGGCGCTCTATTTCTTTTAGCTTGAGATAAACTTGCTATTCAGCACTTTCATGAAAACTACTACTCACTCTGTCTTGGTTTCCTAATGTGACAGTTTGGCAACATCAGCTTAGAATATTAATTCCAGAAAGTTTTCCAAGAGAGCAAAAAGTGGAAAGCCATATTTTCTATGATAACATAATGAACAGTCCTAAGAATTGGTCCCTTTACTATTGGGTTTTTTGTTTGGTTTAATGTCAATTTGGGGGTCACACCTGCTGATGCTCAGAGGTTACTCCTGGCTCTGCACTCAGGAATCACTCTTGGTGGTGCTCAGGGGACCAGATCTAACCAGGTGCCAGAGACCAGGGTCAGCCACAAGCAAGGCAAGCACCCTACCCGTTATAGTGTGTCCCTGGCCCGGTCCCTTGACTGTTCTCATTCTCTTCTTCCTGGAAGAAATGTCCTGTTGTGTAACTGGTTCTTTCCAGCCTTCAAATTCCCCTTGAAGGGAAATCCCAGACAGGAGTTTATGTCACCGATTTCCCTAATATGTGAGAATTTTCTGTAATCACTGAAGGAAGATTATCTAGCTTCACTTCATTATTACAAGAACTGGAATTTTATTTTGTCTATTTTATGTATTCTATGACTGTGTCTGTGCATACAGTCTTTGAAGAAAGGAGGAGGGGGAGAAGGCAAGAGAGACAGTACAGCAGGTAGGGCACTGGCCTTGTACACAGCAGTCCAGGTTCTGTCCCCGATACTGTGTATGGTCCCCTGAGCCCTGCCAGGATTGATCCCTGGGCAGAAAAAGGAGTGAATCCTAAGTACTTCTGGGTATGGTCCCCAAACAAACAACCACAAAAAAACAAACTAGTGGCTGGAGCAATAGCACCACAGGTAGGGCATTTGTGTTGCATGCAGCCAACCTGAGTTCGATTCCCAGCATCCCTTATGGTCCCCTGAGCACCGCCAGGGGTAATTCCTGAGTGCAGAGCCAGGAATTGTGCATTTCTGGGAATGACCCAAAAAGAAAACAAAAAAGCAAACTAAAAAGAGAGAGATGCTCTGGGATCCTGAATGGGTTGGATGTTTGGGGAATGAAGATAGTAACAGTAGCAACATCCACTTCATCCCTGCAATGGAGACTGCCATCTCTACTTGCCACTTGCCAACTTGCATCTCATCTTCCTGGCAATACCCAGTTTTGTCTCTGGGGAAACACAAGCCGATAACTCTGTGATAAGATCAAGTGTGCCTGATAATTAGTGACACAGAACTTTTTTTTTTAATGTGCCTTTTGGCCATTTAGGTTCCTTCTTTGAGAAAGTTTCTGTTCATCGATTCTCCCCATTTTTTGTTGGGGCTGGATGCTTTTCTCTTGTAAAGTTCCTGACATATCTTGGACATCAACTAGACCACTTGCCAGAATAGGGGGAGGATAGTTCGGTCAGAGAAGGGGCCACAATGAGCAGGACAGGGGGAAGTGATCACTCTGGGCAAGAACTGGGTGATGAATGGAGGTAAAGTTACATGCATGATATCCATTCAGTTAACAGTACTGTGGGTTGGAGCTACAGCACAGTGGTAGGGCGTTTGCCTTGCGCGCAGCCAGCCCGGCCGTGCCCCGTTCGATTCCTCCGCCCCTCTCGGAGAGCCCGGCAAGCTACCAAGAGTATCTCGCCCTCACAGCAAAGCCTGGCAAGCTACCCGTGACTTATTAGATATGTCAAACACAGTAACAACAAGTCTCAAAAAAATGGAGACATTACTGGGCCCCCTAGAGCAAATCGATCAACAACGGGAGGACAGTGTTTGTTTGTTTGTAACAGTACTGCAAAACACAGGGCCTAAAATGAAAAAGAAGGAAAAATAAAATTGCCTGCCATCGAGGCAGGCTGAGGGGGACGAGGGAAACTGGGGACACTGGCGAATTGATGGGTTCCTGAACATTGCATGGCAGAAACTCAATCATGAACAACTTTGCAACTTTGTATCTCATGGTGATTCAATAAGTTAAAAGAGAAAAATGAAGAGGGACAAAAGATTTCATCTCATGGTAATGCAGATATCTGTCTGCAGGCTACACTAGCACCATGCTGGTTCTGTGCTATTTTCTCTTGGGGCCCAGATAATTCTGGAAAACTCAGCTGGGAGATTTCTACTTCCAAGGTGCAGAGATGCCTCTAAGAAGAGATGTCTGTTCCCTCATACAGCAAGTTCCAACAAGTCTTGTCTGAATTCCCTCTAACCCTGGGTGCTTCCCCTCACGGCTTACAAATATGTACCCACTAATTAGATCTTTTTCTTCCAGGTTCTTCCCAGGTTCTCGCAATGGCCATTATTCACCTTCCCCTCTGTTAGGCTCCCTCGTGTTTCCAAAGCAATGCAAGATTTAGAGAATTAAATTGGTTTCGATGTTACTTGCACATTGGTTTTTTTAATTTTATGTTATTTTATTGAACCCGACTTAGAATGAGAATACCTTCTCTCCCATGAGTTTCCTAAAATGCTAAGAAAAAAAAATACCATCCCAACCCTAACTCTACTGAAGGGTACAGTAGGTTATTAAACTTTTCAAGCTCCTTAAGTTTTTTTTTTTTTTTTTGATGTTGTTATCCTGATCTTCTATACAACTAACCAGTAATCCTCACTGGTCCCCTCCCCCCACCCTTTTATTTTAAATTTCACCGAAAATTACATTGTCTCCCAAAACTTAAAAACTAGAACACCTGAGACAGGTCTCAGATTATCATCGAATCTGACCAGTGTAGAGAAAAGGGAGGTTAGGTGACAAAAGCCAGACTTAATTCTGCTAATGCCAACTAAGACTGCATTTGTTCTTTTGGCAAGGACATGACTCAGTTGGCTCAGAAAGGTGTTTTAATTGACTTCAAACATGAAAGCCAGCCTGCCTCCCCAAGGCCCCCAAACACACTCTTGGGCATTTATTGAGGTTTGCTCTCTGTAGTCCCTCCTCGTACAGCTGTGCTTGAAAACTTTAATTCCAGCACCAGACTGCTATACTCACCCTGCTGCTCTTAATCTTGATAAAGCTACCCCTGGATCCCAATCTATCAAACTCTGTCTCACTCACTACCCTAACTGCTGTTCTGTCTTAGGATGACTGTGGATTTTATGAGTTTTCTTAATTTTTTTTTTAGCCCAGAAAGTAAAAGAAATACGACTAATCGAGTTTTATAAGACAAAGTAGAAAAAAGTAAAATAAAGGCCCTCCCGTTGATCATCCATTTGCTCGAGCGGGTCCAGTAACGTCTCCATTGGAGACTTTGTTGTTACTGTGTCTGGCATATCTAATACGTCACGGGGAGCTTGCCAGGCTCTGCCGTACGGGCGAGATACTCTCGGTAGCTTGCCGGGCTCTCCGAGAGGGGCGGAGCAATTGAACTTGGGTCGAAAAGTAGAAAAAAAGAAGATAAAAACGAAAAGTAGAAAAAAACGAAGATAAAAAAGTAGAAAAAAAGAATGGTCTTAGATCTGCCTTTTCTTTATTTGTATTTATTTATTCATTTTTGCCTTTTGGGGTCACACCCAGTGATGCACAGGGGTTACTCCTGGCTCATGCACTCAGGAATTACTTCTGGCGGTGCTCGGGGGACCATATGGGATGCTGGGAATTGAATCCGGGTTGACTGCATGCAAGGCAAATGCCCTACCCACTGTACTATCGCTCAAGTCTCAGATTTGTCTCTCCTTTGGTGATTTATTTAACCCTTATTAATCCCACGGGGTTGATACCCTAACCCTCATTTCATAGGTGAGGAAGATGGAGTTTGGGAATGACAACCTGGCACAGAGTTACCTTGCTAGTATGTGGAGGATTCTTTGCTTTCCAAGTTGTATACCTTTATTCCACTGTGTTTTCAGTTGTCTTTTGGCATGGATTCATTTTACAGGGCTGTTCCCACAGGCAATTCGTGTAGCAAGGTTATTTGATTAAGAGTGTGGGGGACTGAATTTTTCAGATAAAAGAAGTGAACTGCCTCCTCGCTTGCAAACGAGGATATATATTACAAAAGCAGTGTTATGAGCCTATGACAGAAGTGTTGAGCTGTCGTCAATCACAGCCTTTCACTTAGAGACCACTGTCCTGGAGGACAAAAGTTTAACTTCCTTTCACAGCTGTCATCCTTTCGCATTCCTTAAAAAAAATGCGTGTCTAATATTGAAAACCTCAAACGGCTCTAAGGCAAGCTCCAGGAATAGGAGAGCGCCACAGAGGTGACTCATCACTGCAAATATCGGCATTTGGGTGTGTTGCATTCACACAGCAAGAAACAGACGCGGGCATGTCCTGTGACTCCCTTTGCTTTGGCTGTGAATTCTGCCACAAAAAGCCCCCCCCCAAAACTGGGTACACACTGATAGAAGAAAAACAAGGCAAAGAGAGGAGGCAGACCCCTTCCTAAATAGGAAATAAGTAGCTGAAGTCTTTCCATCAACTTGCTTCTATCACCATCACACATCTAAACTGTTTCTCTGGAAATTAAAACTCAACATAAAGACATTATGCTGTCTCAGCCTGTTTTTGATAGAAGAATTTTACCTTTTCTAGGGCTGGAGCGATAGCACAGCGGGTAAGGTGTTTGCCTTGCAAGCGGCCAACATGGCTGACCCGAGTTCGATTCCTCCGCCCCTCTCGGAGAGCCCGGCAAGCTACCGAGAGTATCTCGCCCACATGGCAGAGCCCAGCAAGCTCCACGTGACATATTCGATATGCCAAACACAGTAACAACAAAGTCTCCAATGGAGATGTTACTGGGCCCGCTCGAGCAAATCGACGAACAACGGGAGGGCCTTTACCTTTACCTTTAAGTCTGCGTCTTTCTATATTAAGGGCACGAGGATTTTATGTCCAATAACAATACACTATAAAAAGGTAGATATTGAAATGAATTCTTTTTCTTCTCTCTTTTTTTAAACACCTACATTCCATTCCTATTAAAATAACAGGCTAGACAACAGGGTGAATGGGACATCATAATTTTTTGAAAGTGAAAGATAATTCTGATTCACTGAAGTGGTCCAAGAGAGGTTTTCATTTTTAAATGGTTTACAAGGTTCTAACATGTTTCTTTTCCCTTTTACCTTTTTCTTTAACCTAGCATTGACCAGAATACATATGATTTTCATTTAATATATCCTGAGTCACAAAACTGACAATGAAAGATAGGCCAACAACGTACAGACTTGAAATAGTATTTTTTTTCATGCTATAAAATTTGTAGGAGGCTGACTGTGCAGAGAGATTTAAGAGCAAGGTCAAGATTATCTTCTAAACATCTCTTACATTTTCATGGTTTTCAGATTGTAATAGGGTTATATTTTCCAAAACTCATCCAGAGGGTTATGAATACGAATATCAATATAAATAAAGTTTAGTCAACTTTAAATACCATTATCATATGATCATGATTCTAAATCCACGTGTACCAATGCTTTAATTCTAAAAAATATACTACTTTTAGATACAGTGTTTGTATCTTAAAAATTAATCCAACAACCTAGACAATATGATAAACAGACAATCTGGCATGCCATGCAAATGATTTACCTGCAAAGTTATAACATCGAAGAATAAGCAGGTATCACAAGGTTAAGTAAATGAATACTCACCTTGTGTTTTCACTGGGTCTGATATCTGGCTTGGATCACTAATTCCATATGCATTAGCTGCTCTTACAAGGAAAAGGTAAATTGCATTAGGTTTCAGTCCTTTAATGGCAAATGTTTCTGTTTTCACATTCTCAGCGACAGTCTGCCAGCTGCTACCAGATGCATGGCTAAGGATAGAAACACAAGTTAGAACCTGAGTATTTAATGATTAGTGAGGGAAAAAAATGAATCACTAGGAAACACTATTTTCACTCTACCTGAAAGCTTCAATAATGTATGATGTTGGAGTTGCACCTGAATTCAAATTTGGTTGCCATGATAATGCTACTGTATTTCTGCTCACATCTGTTACTTCAGGTTTAGAGGGTGCGCTAGGTATCAAATTGGGATCCGTGGGTCTTGGAGGTTGAACTGGAACTCCAAATTCTAATAAAGAAGAGGAACCCAAATAAAAATGTTTACACATTTACCAATAAGCATTTACAAATCACATATCAGTATATCAACTTCATCAATTAATTAGTAAGTAAGCAACTAAGTTTGAAAATTTATTATATTTATTTGTGGAGAAAAAGGTGGATGTGCTAACCAGAAGTGCTCAGGGCTTACTCTTGGCTCTGTGCTCAGGGATCACTCCTAGCTGTGCTAGGAACCATAGGTGGTACCAGGAACTGAACTAGGATAGAAGACAAATGCCTTATCTCTGGCTCTATTTCTCCACCCCTAAAGTTCTACTTTAAGATAAATTAAAAAAAAAGCACTATCTTATTTACCTTGGACTTCAATATAAGAACTCCAGGTTGCTTCACCACTGGGAGTTGATGCAATGCAGGTATACCGACCAGTGTCACCAAGCTGCACAGACAAGGAAGAAAAATACATGTTTGGAACAATCAAGATTTCATTGAACTGTAAAATCATTTATGCATTTGTATGTGGTCAATAAACATAGATAACTACATTTAAACTTGCTAACACAAAACTTTCTCTTAATTAGACATTTCTTACGATATGAAGGAAAATGTTGCCTGAAGAAAAGAATAAACCATAGGGTTTTCTAATTCTCTAATATAATATAATTACATTGGAGGAAAATACCACTATTTTCAGTTATGGACAGCAGACAATGAGGTATACAACTCAGGTACACATTCAAGTGGTTTTATTTCTTACATAAATATGTTTAGTAAGTAAGCCACATAATCAAGCTGGCAGAGCTTAGCCAATGGTAATTCTTGCTATTTCCCATTTTACCAATTTCAAAAATATATATGGACATATGTGTGTGTGTGAATACATACACATATATTCTATCTATAGAGAGAGTTTTGGGGACTATCCAACAGTGATCAAAGAACAATTTGCAATGCTGGGGATCATATTAAAGTCAGTTGTGTGCAAGGCCAGCATCTTAACCCCTGTACTCTTTCTTCAGTCCCGGATATTATATATATATATATATATATATATATATATATATATATTTAAAGACACAATGTGATTCCTTATTAAAGTATTTCCTCCTGCACATTTGCACATTCCTTCTCATTTTGTTTTACTCTTTAAGTTAGGACAGCTAAATAAGTAAAGCCAAACTCCAGCTACAAAGAATGGTCTTTCTCTCTCTCCCCTAAAGGTGAATACCAGGGAAATAAACCCAAAATACCATCAATCACAATTTTCACTTTAAAATTAGTAGCAGTATAATGAACCTGTATACCTCTGCTTAAGGTAATAACTATCTTCAAGTAATGTTTAATAAGCAAGAATATTCTCATCTTGCTCTGATAATTGCAGCTACAATCATTGTCATAAAGAAGGACAATTTACTAACTTTTGTGGCACATAAACGATTACACCAATCCGAAACTCCAAAGAAAATCACCCACAATAGCAATAAAGCAATAGAAATTTATGTTTATTGCTGTCAAGGCTATTCTTTCATACGCTCTATAAGCTTGTCTGATCTTGACCTAAAAAGAAAATGAAAAATCAAAACAAAACAACACAGTCCTGAAAGAACAGGTATGGGATGTGATGTTCTGAGAAGGCAAATCCCTAAATTGTTCCCACAAACCTGTGGGCTTTTCATCATTTAAATACTGATTTAAAATGTACACTTGGTGTGTACACTGCTTTATATATTTTGTTTGCAGGCAGCATGTTCTGTAATTGCAAAATGCTGAACCAAATATTCACAATAGAAGAACTGCTTAAGTAAACTGTACATAAAATGATATTAGAAAGCTATCTTTGAAAACTGCTTTCGGGACTGCCTGCATCCTTCCACTATTTGGAAGGTATTTATTTTCCTCCCACAAATTCCCTGCTACTTTCCTCAGTAGATTACAAAATCGTTTTCATTTCCCTCCTCCTTAAGAAACTTTAAATGTTTTGCCATGGGCTAAATTAGGAGTGAAATCATTTTCAACAGACACACACAGAATGTGTTCAAGAATAAAAAAAATTTCAAATTAAGATGACATTAATACCATTATTTGGCATTTCACTGATTCTAAAAGCTAAAACTTCAACTTTATTTGCCAGAGGCACAAAGAGAATTGGCACAAAATGGAAACCAGGGGTGTCATTTCCAGTTACCTTGGCATATCGAATCTGTAGCACTCCTGTCTCCAGCTGTTTGATTCGAGAATCCTGGGTGGAGATGAGGACTCCATCCTTCCTCCACAGAATGGTGGGCAGTGGACTGCCTGTGGCCACACAGCTGAGCACTAAAGTTCCATCCACAGCGACGGTCTGATTCACAGGACCTTGTCGAATGACCGGGGGAGGCCGGTCTGCAATCACTGCCAGGAGACAAAACAGGAAAGAGATTTCTGCAACTGGAAGCAATTTTCTAATCATCCAAGCAACAGCACTCGCTTTAGGCTTTGTAACAAACTAATTAAACAACTAATTAAAGTAAGAGACATGCATTATTCAGAATGCATTTATATGATATACTTACTCAGAATATTTAGAGGAGGAACCAAATACTCCTTACAAATGATCAACCACTGCCTGAGTTTACTGCATTGCCATGAAACCCAGTTATTTTCTTAAAAAATAGAAGTCAAGGGGCTGGAGCAATAGCACAGCAGGTAGGGCGTTTGCCTTGCAAATGGCCGACCCAGGTTTGATTCCCATCATCCCATATGGTCCCCTGAGCACCACCAGGGGTGATTCCTGAGTGCAGAGCCAGGAGTCACCCCTGTGCATCGCAGGTGTGACCCAAAAAGAAAAAAAAGTCCATGGCTTTCCTATACGCAAACAGTGAGAGAGAAGAAAGCAACATGAAAAAAACAATCCCATTCACAATTGTGCCCCAGAAAATCAAGTACCTAGGAATCAGCTTAACTAAGGAAGTAAAGGACCTGTACAAAGAAAACTACAAAACGCTACTTCAGGAAATAAAAGAGGACATGAGGAAATGGAAAGATATCCCCTGCTCATGGGTCGGGAGACTTAACATTATCAAAATGGCAATACTACCGAAAGCATTGTATAAATTCAATGCAATCCCTATAAGGATACCCATGACATTCTTCAAAGAAATGGAGCAAACACTCTTGAAATTTATATGGAACAATAAGCCGCCACGAATAGCTAAAGCAATTCTTGGGAAAAAGAAAATGGGAGGAATCAACCTCCCGAACTTCAAACTGTACTACAAAGCAGTAATAATTAAAACAGCATGGTACTGGAACAAAGGCAGAACTGCAGACCAATGGAACAGGGTTGAATACACTGACATCTCTCCTCAATCATATGCTCATCTAATCTTTGATAAAGGTGCAAGTAATGTGAAGTGGAGTAAGGAAAGCCTCTTTAATAAATTGTGTTGGCATCACTGGACGGCTACATGCAAAAAAATAGGCTCAGAACTCTGCCTAACACCATGTACAAAAGTAAGATCAAAATGGATTAAAGACCTCAACATCAGACCAGAAACCATAAGGTACATTGAAGATAAAGTTGGCAAAACCCTCCATGACATTGAAGCTAATGGTATCTTCAAAGATGCCACGCCACTGGCCGAGCAAGTGAAAACAGAGATAGACAAATGGGACCATCTTAAACTAAGAAGCTTCTGCACCTCCAAAGAAACAGTGACCAAAATACAAAGACAGTCTACAGAATGGGAAAGGATATTCACCGAATACACATCTGACAAGGGGTTGATATCCAGGATATACAAAATACTGGTTAAACTCCACAAGAAGAAAACATCCAACCCCATCCAAAAATGGGGCAATGAAATGAACAGAAACTTTCTCAAAGAAAAAATCCGAATGGCAAAAAAGCACATGAGAAAATGCTCTACATCATTAATCATCAGGGAGATGCAGATCAAAACCACAATGAGATACCATCTCACACCTCAGAGACTGGCCCACATTCAAAAGAACAAAAGCAACCGATGCTGGCGTGGTTGTGGCGAGAAAGGGACACTCCTTCACTGTTGGTGGGAATGCCGACTGGTTCAGCCCTTCTGGAAAACAGTATGGACGATTCTCAAAAAATTAGAAATTGAGCTCCCATTTAACCCAGCAATACCACTCCTGGGAATATATCCCAGAGAGGCAAAAATGTATAGTCGAAGTGACATCTGCACTTGTTTGTTCATTGCAGCACTCTTTACAATAGCCAGAAACTGGAAGAAACCTGAATGCCCAAGAACAGATGACTGGTTAAAGAAACTTTGGTACATCTACACAATGGAGTACTATGTAGCTCTTAGAAAAGATGAAGTCATGAAATTTACATACAAGTGGTACAATATGGAAAGTATCATGCTAAGCGAAATGAGTCAGAAAGAGAGGGATAGACATAGAAAGATTGCATTCATCTGGGGGATATAAAGTAACAAAGTATGAGATTAATACCCAAGAATAGCTGAGATCAGCACCAGGAGGATTACTCCATAACTTAGAGGCCAGCCGGGTATCCTAGAGGAAAGGGCTATTCAGATAGAGAAGGGAGCACCAAATAAAGGATGTTTGGAGGATCCTCCCAGGAGGGGAGATGCATGTCGAAAGTAGACTATGGACTGAACATGTTTGCCACTCAATGCCTCTTTTGCAGACCACAACACCCAAAAGGAGAGAGAGAACACGGGGGATTGCCCTGCCACAGAGACGGGGGGATGGGGGGATGGGGGTGGGAGGGATATTATCCATGGTGGTGGAAAATGGGCACTGGTGGAGGGATGGGTATCTGATCATTGTATAATTGAAACCAAAGCACAAAAAATTGTAAATCTACAACTTTAAAAAAAATAAAATAAAATAAAGGGGAAAAAAAAAAAAAGAAGTCAATTAGGACTGTGAGTGACGGAGTAGTAAAAAGCAGTGAGAAGTGGAACTGTGTATTTCTTAAATTGTGAAAGGTGCAATCAAGACACATTTTAAAAAGCACCCCCTGTCCAAAAAACATATGAGAAATAATATAATGAGTGAACCCAATTCAACTACTTAATATGTCAAGTTTTGAGTCCAGCAGAAAAAAATAATGGAAACACACTAGCATGTTTGACAGTTCTGGATTCAAGCAGGTGCTTCAGACTTAAATTAATCCATTGAACTCATTTTTTAAAAGCAATTCAGGAGTACAACAGCAAAAAATTTACATTAATGAATTTAGAGAAACTATAAGGTTTTCAAAAATTTTGTGCGAACAATAATCCAAAACTATAATTTAAGGGGCTGGAGCGATACTACAGCGGATAGGGAGTTTGCTTTGCATGCGGTCAACCTGGGTTTGATTCCCAGCATCTCACATGGTCCCCTGAGCACGGCCAGGAGTAATTCCTGAGTGCAAAGCCAAAAGAGTAACTCCTGTGCATAATTGGGTGTTACATAGAAAGCCCCCCCCCAAAATAGAAAAAAGACTACAACTGAGAATAACAAATAGTGGGGAGAAATTCCTGAGTTACAAAAGAGTAAATCCTGTGCATCACTGGGTGTGACCAGAAAGCCAAAAAAAAAAAAAATAGAAAAAAACCTACAATTTAAACTGAGAATATAAAATAGTCGGGAGAAAAGGCAAGAAGAGGTTCACGTGAAGTGACATAAGGGTGGTGTGAAGGAACTTGGAAACTTGGTGATTGTACAAGTCCAATAACTTTTATATCAAAATCATACACATTAACCCATGTGTTATCTGAATTATAATTTATCTTAATTATTACTTTGTGAGGATCGCATCCGATGGTATTCATGGATCACACCCCACACTGTTCAGGAGATACTGGTGATCAAAATGAAGCCAGCCCCATACAGGGAAAGTGCCTTACTCCCTGTACTATTGATAAATTTAAAACACTTTTTAATTATATCTATTTGTGCTCAGGACTTAACTCCTGTGGTCAGGGATCATATCTGGAGGAATGTGGGGACCCATATGCAATGCTGTGGATTGAATGGGGACAGATCTTGATCAGGCATTCACCTTACTCTTGTACTATCTCTCTGCAACCCTCACATTTTAAAAACATCAGACTTTCCCCAAATTGGAATTACAATAACTGGAAAATACTTTTGCTCCTTCTATTACCTTATTAGTTTTTTTTTGTTTGTTTTTCATAATCCTGCAATCAGTACCTTACTAGTTTTCATACACTGTAGTAACAATAGAAGATAGTTAAATAAAAGATAAATAAAGTTATTCTGTTCCTATGTTCAAAACCTAAAAACTATCTCAGATGATGAAAAAAAATCATTATTTTATAGAAAAATCAGACAACTTCAGTGAATATAAAATAAATCTTGCTTAGAGAAATTTTTTACATACCTGGAATAATCAATTTGGATAAATATCCAAATAGATGGTTTCTTAAGTGAATATAAATTAGGTTTCAGATTTTTTAAATTTTTACTAATTTTTAAAATTCTGAATATTGAGCAAATCATTTTAAATGACAAATGCATAACTGACCATTTCAAGAAGATGCCTGATTTAGGGGAACTGGTTGTCAGAGTAACTAGATATTGGAGGCAACAATCTGAAAAGCTAAATGTGTCATGTTCAAATTTATCTGCACCAAAGATTTTCACAAGCTGTAGTCACATTTCAATTGTTCCTCATTTATCAAGCAGTAATGATCAGTTTTTACATCCACTTTATGAAAGACAAAAACCGCAAGAGTAAAATCAGTAACTGTGCATTTCCACTCTATCCTTCAAATTCTCTTCCTTCCTTGGTACTAACATGGAATTTGCTAATACTAATGAGGCTGTATTGGATATCTGATTTTTAAAACTTGGCAGGGATTTTTGATACTTTGTGCATAAAAATTTGAGTCAACAATTCTTTTGCTTAGAATTGTTTAATCTTCTTCACATTATCTGTTAAGAGTGGGAAAAATCAAATTAGAGGTCACTCCTGTTAAGTATAAAAAAAATGAACATGTCTTATTGCATTCAGATTTTATAATGCTCTACCACCTGTGTTCCCTTGATTAGAATAATAAATGAATATTTATTTCCAGACATTAATTAAATTAGTAACAGAGTGCTTCTCTATAACTGATTATAATTAAGTCTAGTAACAGAGTGGTTTTAATTTGGTAGATTTGCTATTTTTAGAGACAATACAATAGCGGGGTTTTATTCAATATTCTATCTTTATAGTTATTTGATACACCATCCTATTCCTATGCAGCATCAACACCTTCTCATCCCAACTCAGTGCAGCATAATGGTGCTATTTTTTCTGTCATTTCTTATATAGTGGTTGACATTGAATAGTCAAAAAAAAAAATCAAACAGAAGTAGAGTTCAGTAGTACCTTCACCATCTGTCATGAG